TGTAAGCGGATGCAAATAAATGTGGAGGCACTACAGGTATACAGTGGACAGCCAGGATACAACTGGACGATTTGGACTTCGCAGATGATCTGGCGCTTCCATCGAACACTTAAAATCTAATGCATATAAGACGACGAGTATTGCAGCAGTCTCAGTAGCAGTAGTTCTCAATCTCCATAAAAGAGAGAGCAAGATTCTCCAATTCAACACAACATGCAACAACCAACTTACTCTTTTCGGTGAAGCTCAGTAGAATCCTTTTTGAATGTTTTGTGTTTTGGAAAATCCCTCCATGATTACATATTTTTGCTATGACATGACGGACTTTTTCTGTTGACATTTTTGGTATTTTATTTGATTCCAATTTGAGATTTTATCATTGTATATTGTTATTCTTTCTATATTTTGTACTTATATTGAAGTTTTTGTGTTTGCTTCTGAACTGTACATATGTTGTTTAAATTTGATATAATATGGCTACCGCCACATTTTCGGATTCAACATCGTGCAGTATAGGAGTTCACCTAGACCTCGGAACATTGATACTCGTTCGGAGTAATTCTGAATTGGAAGACGTAATATTAGTTAGGTATTATTTGTATTTCCATTTGTTATTTGTAAATAGACCATTTTCCCCTAGAATTATTGTGTTTTCATTTCAAAATCGGGAAGTGCGTCCAACCTACGTCTATTGGAATCGAATTGAACTGTCACGATGGAGAATTCAACTGCAGCTTCGGAATTCGCAAAAACCATTAAATATCTGGGAAGCAAAATTAATGATCAGGGCAGATCCGATGCAAATTTTGAGACACGGATCGGCAAAGCAGAGACATTTCAACATTTGAAGTAAATCTAGAACTCAAAGCAACTATCAACCAACTCTAAAGTCAAAATTTTCGATACAAATTTCAAGACAGTTCAAATGTATAGGGCGAAAACCTAGCGAACTTCGAAAGCCGTCATTCAGAAGATACAAATGTTCATTAACATTTGTCCAAGAAAAATCTTTCAGATACGTTGTCTAGACACCATCAATAACAACCTGCTGTGTGAGAGAACAAACTAGATTCCAGCGGCGTAAGAAAAGAAGAAATGCTGGAAGAAGACCAGACAAACATTGAGGAAAGAACCCGACTGATCAATGCCAGCGTATAAGAAGAGGACCAAGGAACACGTTATGTCGAGAAATGGAAATAAACATGAGAAGGATGATATGGAAATGGATAGAACTAGGAAGGAAGGCCCAGGATCACAATACTGGATAGACCAAAACACTAAAAGCTTCGTACAGTTCGAAGAATGATCTACCTAGCCACATCAGATGTTGTGAGAGCCGACCTAGATCTGTGACACAACAACAGGGAGGCCAAAATGAAAAGCACACAACTGGTAGTTAAACTCGGTCAGCTACTTCTGGCACAAGATATCAGTGAACCAACCGTGCAGGCAAAAAACCTGCAGAGGCCAGTTCCCACAGAACTGGCCGATTCGGTTTAAATAACTTGTCTGAAAACCCGACAAAGGCTGCTGCTGCAAATGTGCACCAGGTGCTGAGACAAACCACTAAGTGCCTCTATAGCAACGTAAGAGGACTAAGGGGTAAGCTGTTAGAAATCAGGAATATGTGCTCTCTGATGGATCTGAAGATCATAATCCTAACTGAAACATGGCTATCCTCTGACATTGCAGACGCAGAAGTGAGCTTACCAGGCATGACACTCTTCCGAAGCGATAGGGAACACCAAACTGGAGGTGGAATGGCGATATATATACATATATAGCAACTTAAAAGCAGAGTGACCATACGACACCCAACTAACTGAGGTGACAGAATCATGTTGGTGTTGTTTCCACTCGAATGGCACGAAATACTTGATTGGAGGGATCTACCGACCTCCTTCGTGTACTAGGGCCCAGAAAAGCAAACTGATTGAGGTAATACTGCAACTGCCACTCCTAGGGTTTGATCAAATACTCTTAGCCGGAGACTTCAATACCCCATCTTTAAATCTCAGCAATCAGAGTATAACTCCCGCTGGTTGGTTCCAAAGACAACTTGGTACAGCCATTAGAAGCTCTGGGCTGACTGAGCACGTACGCAGCGCCACTAAGTCGACTAAGGAAGGGAAGTCCTTAAACCTAGATTATCTGTTAACGAACGACCAGCTCCTGGTTGAGGATGTTCATATCCGCTGTCCAAGAGGTAGTAGTGACCATGGCACAGTCCTGTTTAACATGGTCACAAACGAAACGCTGACACCGGACGACAACGAGCCTTACCTTTGCTACAGTAGGGGAAACTACACACGCATGAGAGAGGTGCTCCTACATGCCTCATGGCCACGGGAGTGGCGGAGGCTGACAGTAGATGATCACTGGCAAGCTTTTAGAGATATCATCCAAAACGCTGTCGTAGACAACGTACCTCAATCACACCCAAAACGCCAGAACAGAAGAACCTGGGTTAGGCGCGGCACTGAACGCTTGCTACAGGCGAAGACAAAAGCCTGGCACAAGTGGAAGGTCTCCTTGAAGGATTCCGATCGCAGTTCTTACTTGGCATTGAGAAACAGATGCAATACCAAAGTTCGAAGTGACAGGAGACAATTCCAGACGAAACTAGTCGCTAGAATAGAGGCAAACCCGAAACATCTGTTTAGGTTCATGTCCAAAAGAAAACCTACTAATCAAGGTTTGTGTTCCCTGAAAGAGCCTAACGGAGAAGACCTCATCAACCTAGATATGGCCGAGATCTTCAACACCCATTTTTCTGATCAATTAAACCAGGCGCCTACATGTTCAGAGTATTACGCCAACCCAATGCCAGCTGATGGCTCAGGGAACATCCGTATCACTCCTGACCTAGTATTAAGGAAACTAAAATCCTTACGCCCAGGTAAGTCACCAGGTTGCGACAACAAACGCCCTATAGTCTTGCAACAGTGCACTGAAGCCCTCTGTTCACCGTTATGCAACCTGTTCAGGCATTCACTGGAGTCACACCAATTCCCAGCGGAATGGAAACAAGCTACTCTCTCTCCAATCTTCAAAGGAGGAGATAGAAAGGACCCAGCCTGTTACAGACCAGTTGCACTACTACCTATATTATCAAAGGTTATGGAAGGACTAGTGAACGAACAAATGAGGGAGTACAGAAGCATTGCTCGTATATCGTGGGACACCCGAGTGAGAAACGCTGTTATTAGGAATCGGGTGCTAGGTAAGAATGGCAGATCAATAGACGCAATAGTGAAACTTCATCGGTTGAGGTGGTTGGGACACGTGTTGCGTATGCCCAACCACCGACTGCCTCGACGAGCTTTGTTTTGTAGTGTAGGAATAGGTTGGAAGAGAGTTAGGGGCGGCCAAACCAAAACATCGCAGAAATCCATGAAGTCATTGACGAGTGGACTTAGCGATGTCAGTAATTGTCGACTACCTGGTTGGGGTCCGCGAGATGATAATAATCGATGGTTAGAGACCTTGAATGACATGGCTCAAAATCGTTCGCAATGGCGCCGGTGCATTTATTCTTTGTGTTCTCTCAAATCCTAATCTTCTGGGTTCTTCAACACCTCTAGTTTTTACTTTCTAAACTTTTCTCCCTGAATCATACTTCTTGAATAATATTTCCTAATGCTAACCTCTCCGATTACTTCTAATACCTTTACTACCTCTTCTACTATTGGATTTGAATCGACAATTACATCTCTGTGCTGATGTGGTATGGCGACATGAACTGATGTACTTACGTACGAAGTTCTACGTTGCATCTGACTGACTGACTGACTCTGACTCTGACAGTATTCCCAATTTAATATAGACATTTTGAACGAGGATTTTATTTGGTCAGAGAATTTCTAGGTTGTTTAGTGAATGAGTCCAGTCCCGATCGTTAGTCAAAATGATATGATCGGCATATAACCGACACTTGGTTAAATAAGATGGAGACTTGGAGAAAGTCAGTGTTTTTCGTTGCTCGCCCTACAATTACTTAAAACTTTCCCCGCCGTATTGGGCAGAGTTGAGAGAATTTTTCCGATCCTGTTACTAAATGTCAACTTTTATATATCATTACATCAATTACTTTCATGCTGTATCGGTCAAATTGACACTATCAAACATCGGTTAAATTTTTAAATTGTTTGGATTGCTTTAAATGTGCAGCTTAAAAATTGGATCATTTTATACAACTAAGTGAAACTTGTTAATATATCGTCATTGGTTGGCTAAAAAATCTATAAGCGATTTACAAACTATCCAGTGCAGATGGTATCAAAATTTTTCTAGGATGAGTCACTCAGTCAGCTGCAACGTAGAACTTCGTACGTTCGTACATCTGTTTAAGTTGCCATACCACATTAGCACACAGAGATCCAATTGTCAGTTTAAATCTGATAGTAGTAGAAGTATTAGGAACAATGGAGAAAATTATGGTTCGAAGATATTATTCAAGAAATATCATCTTGTGATGACCTGTACGACATTCCAAGGTTATCATTATATAGAATGAGTAATCTGATATAAATCTCATCAGTCAACAAAAGCTCATATTTCGTTAGTTTTTGGAAAGTCTTTCTGGAAGTTTGCAAACCACCTACAAAATGTTCATTTCTAACTGAACATACCTATGTCTGATATTAAAAGCGTAAATAATTTTACATATGATTCGTTTATCCTATGCAAAAGGTATTTTAAAACAATAATCTAGCTTAGGAGTAAATAGTCTATTAAATACGTAATTAAATAAACAATGGCTATAAAGGAACAAACAGAGTAATCATGATCCATTAAAGAGATTATGAATTATTAAAATTTATTATTACAAAATGATATGAATTAGTATATCTCGTATCTACTAAAATCTAGTAACACTTTCTCGATTATAATTGATATAGGTTGTAGCTGTTTCTTCGCTTTTTCTAACCATGAGCCAGATATCTTGAAATCTATTACTTTAGTTACTGTCACATACTGTAAACTTTATTGTTTATCATATTCTAGCGGGTATCCTTCGGCATATACAAACAGGCGAAACATTCTGTGTAAAGATGACTTCAACAGGCCCTTCGCTTAAAAGACAAGAAATCATCCGTGCAGTAAGTTTACTAAATTCCAATCTTTTGAGCATTGTTCATACTCCTATTATATTTGGCTTCATAGAAATGGCTTAGCGGCCTTGACAAATGTATTAGATGTTATTAGACTCCAGGTTGAATTTCTCTTCTCTATATATTTATTTGATGTCTTGGCTATAACAGTTAGAGTATGGTTTTTAAATCAAAATACACTGATTTTTTTAGAAGAACTTTTGCATTCTATTTGTTTCGTAAATTGTATTTTAATCACAAATTATTTCAAATTTTTGAATCGAATATATCTATACTCCATTTTAAAAATATCCTTTATTGTCAACTAGGAAAGGGTTTTAAACCACAACATTTTTGAAACATGATCTGTTGTTCTTAGTTGCTAATGGTCAACGGTACTTCAATTTATTGTTTAAATATCCAAACTTCTCCTACTTGTCTTGTAGCAGGTCCAATCAATTATTATCTGATCAGTTGCATATGAAAAATTTTTTCTTGCCATGTACTATCTGTTTAACATCTGTACTGTATATTTACCTACTGATCTTTGTATGTCGTGAAATGCTACTTACAAATTACCAGTAGTTTGGGTCTTATATTATTGCTCTATGCCATCAGACAGGTCTCGTGTTTTTGGCTTTGGATTTTAGGCATTACGCAAGTTGAATGTATATGATCGTATTACTCGTATATATGATTCACATTCAAGATTAAAATATACTCAATAAATCATTTTCAGTATCTTCGCTGAATGTGAAGTTGTAAATAAGTTCAATACATAGTGTTTGTGAGCATGATTGATCAAAAAGCTTGTAAAAATTCCACCTTTTTGTTGTTAAACTAAATTATGCAAAATGAAATTTGACATACTCAGAAAATCATGTGAAACCTGTTTTCTGTACGCTTACACAACTGCATGTAGACTCTTGAACACAAAATGTAAATTATTTTAGATCATTTATCATGCTTCGTTTAATTATCGTTCGATGTTATCTTCTGTAAACTGTTCAGTTACTGTAAAACTCTTTTTTTTTTATTTCCTACTCTAATTTCATGTTTAAGTCTTTCTAAAATATTTTTTTGTTAATGAAAAATTGTGTTAAGAATTTTAAGAAACTTTATTTCTTTTATGTAGAATGCAACTTAATCATTTTGTCTTCTGTGTACATAGAATTAATAATCTATCTAAAAAACTATTTTAAATGAAATAGTTTGATATTCGAAAGATTAAAAAGCTACAATTGTTCTAGTACTGTTCAATATTGTTTATTAAACGAGATAAGATCTTGTTTAGTAAACTGTAGATTTTCTTCACATAGTTAAACAATGTTTTAAGATTGAAATTATCTATTTTTTCTTCTATCTAGATTTGCACACGCTTAATTCGTCAGCGGTTATTTGCTTTAAATATGGAATCAAGTCAAATCCCGGTAAGATTATTCTAAAACCATTGTCTATTTTCTACGTATATATTTACATCACATTGAATTCGTGAATCGATCGTCGTTAGACGAGCATTAGAAACTTGGAAGTACCGGACCGCTGTTTTGTCCTGTTATGGGACTCATCAGCAATGCACATCTCATGCCAGGACAAAACGGCCGTCCAGTGCTTCCAGGTTTCTAATTGATTCACGATTTCAATTTAAAGCATAGATCTCCATAACTCTATAATAAAAATTATGTTTACATATTTGGATTATATAATTTTTATATCATCCCATACCTAAAAAATAATTTTTTTCCCATCACAGCCCAATAAATTAAATCTTTAAGTTGAATACGATAATTTTTACAGTTGCTACCTTATTATATTTGCCGTATTTATGTAATTTTTGTTAAAAGTAATTGAATGGCTGTATTATACGAAGTAACACCGTACTAACATTTGCTGTTTAGCTATAAAAGTCATAAGAATGATGATTGATTATCAACTTTTCAGAACTCGGGTTGTGTCAAGTTGACACACCACACTAAAATTATTAATATTACGTGTATGATAAACTCTGGTAATTTCCTTGTGTTAGCTGAATGTTCACTCACTATTTTCATTTGTAAAGTATGTGATTAGTTTACACTTGAGAATAAAATAAAACTAGGTAAATAGCATGTTGGAGATACCTAGTTTTCACAATTCATTCTTTCAGTGATTGATCTAGATAGGTTACTGGGTTAATGTGTTTAAGAGTCCCTTAAGTAGCACCTTACTTTCATTTGATTAATATAAACCTTTATGCAAGTTTATCACTTATTAACTCATAACCAAAAAGATATGATCTAGAAGGGTATTTTATAAACTATGATTCGGTTCAGGTTACAAACTCATAAGAGATATTGATACTATTAATTGATACTAATACTAATACTAATATCACAAAGAGGAAAATAAAATAAGCAGTTCACAATACAACCGAATAGTATTCAGATCGTCTCAGAAAGTTACTAGTTTACTATCAATAAATTGTAATATTGTGTAATATATTCTTAGTTACTTGTAAGTAGTCTATTCCATTAATGACTTTTGTTGTACTTATTCTATTTTTCTTCAAAATAATTCAACAGATTCCTGGACATCCTACTCATTGTATGAGAGTTTTACATTCTAAAAACTTTTTTACCCATAAAGGTCCTATCATTATTTTATTACAAGGTGGTGGAGTTGCTCAGGCTGGTGTTTGGGCTCCACGTCTTCTATTACATCCTCAACATGGTCTTCAATCTGGCAGTCAAATATCTTTAGTTCAAAAAGCACATGAACAAGGTTATGCAATAGCTATTGTCAACGCAAATGAATATGTCCCAAGTGAAACAGAAATGGATGCTATGGAAACATTTTCTAATCCTTCTTGTTCTTTAAATGATGTCAAGAAATGTGTACATATTGATCATAATCTTAAACCATATGTTCATATCAACAGTCATGATGCATCAATCCATCTCACTGTACCTGATCATTCAAAGAAGATTATAGTATCACCTATGCTTGACAATAACCTTCATCATCCAATTGCTTCCGATTCTAAGTACGTTAAAAACTGTATATTTGACAAAATAAAGTCATTATCATCTTTGTGTTATTAAAGAATTCAGTGTATGTTGAATCAATTTTTTCTTATCTAGATTAATTCTGACTCATAATCACGCACTCCCATATCACATGTATAATTTTTAAGAGCTAATACTAATTATCTGTTTGCTGGAATATAAGCATAAGTTCATTGGTTCAAATGACGTAACTCTTTGGATATATTCTTGGAACCAATTCATCCCTAAGGTATTTTCCTTCTGTTCTTTTTAAGAAAAACGTTTGAACCGTATTTTATATGCAATCAACAGACATTCTTAAAATCCTGTCGTAATTAAATACCCATCTTGATCATTCAATATTTTATGAATTTAAAAAATTTGGTTCGTGTCAGATCTTTTTTATAATTATTTCTTTTCATGTAATCAATTCGTTAGAATAAGGTTCAAATTCATTATTTGTGTATTTTCAAAGCATTAGCATTAAGATCATAGATGCTCACTTTTGACGAAGTTTAAACGAAACACCTTTTTGATGATTTCTGACTAATTTGTTCCATAATGTCAAATAGGAAAAACAAATATATATATATATGTAGTCTCTTTCTATTCCATTACCTCCCAGCTTGAAATAGATATTTATCTTTTCTATTAAACAATACTTTGTACACAATGTTCATTTATTTTAAATTTTTTGTGTGCTTTATTTTATCAGTTTACTCTTTATATTATTCATGTAACGTTCGTTTAACTTTTTCATAATCTTTATTCTATTGATTATTATGCATCATCACTTATCAAACAGTCTTGTTGCAAAATCTTTCCCATTACACTTACACTTTTGACTGCATAACTCAGAAAAAATAAATTAAAACTACTCAGAAATAAAATTTCCTTTATTTAAGTGTTCTTACATCATATATTTATATGGTCACCGATTGTATACATTCATTTGACTTTGAAAATTTACATAACAATAACCACTATAATTGAGTGAATATTGAAAAAGTAGAAAATAATTCAAATTATCTTACAAACGATTAGCGTTCACATGTGTATTGTATCATCATTAGACGCATGAATTAATAATGCATCCTTATATTCTCGTATTTTATTAGTCTTCATTGGTGTATAAACTAGTTTTCTGTGTTATAATTTCTTTAAATTATTGTTAATTTATAATAGACTTATTATTCAATGTTTTATTTAATGAATACTCTTTAAGCTTAAAATTCAGTTTACAAAATTCCTATCCAATTTTATCGTTTTATGTTTCATTAGTATACTAGAAAGTTTCATTGCATTTAATTTATGGAATTTTTTTGTTTACAAAAGTTTAGAAAATCCAGTACTCTGTGTACCATGTAAATCATCTACTGACAAAGAATCCAAACGATTATTTCAATCGTGTTCAACAACAACACCATCATCATCATCATCAGCTTTATCATGGCTATTAACTGGATCGAATTCTACCAGCAGTTCAACTATGCAGACAGAGTCTAACATACAAAGCACACCTGTTTGTAGTGTCAATTCCATTAGTGCATCAACGAATGAAACTTGTTTACCTTCATCGACTACTGATTTTTCGCTGAATATGCATGTAAAACATGTTAGTTTGACGGATAATCCACCTTCGTCGTCGTCGTCATCATCATCATCATTAAAAGCTACACATTTACTGAACTATCAATCACAATCACAAAAATATACACCTTCAATTTCGTCAAATAACATTAATTCTAAGAATTTGATACAAGTAAGTCTTTTCTAATCACTTTATATAAACTAATTTCAACTGTGTTCAGTGTGCTTCTTTTGGTTTATGAAAAAACTGCGCTAAAAGTTTAACAATATTTCAGTAGGTCTCCGGTTTTATTACTTCACAGTTAAGCATTAAAAATGTGGCTACAATGTAATCCAGCATCCGAATAGATAATTGATGACACAAGGCTTATCTAGAAATTTAAAACATATCTCTAGATTAAATGGACAAATTATCATATGTATGACATCAAAATGTTCGCTATTTTTATTATCAAAGAAATGTTGAGTTAGAATACAATTAAACTTCTGTTATACATTATCCGAAATTAGCAGCACATAATCAATGTCTAAGAAAATAACCAATACAGTATAACCACAGCGTGCCGCTACCATCATCATTAGAGTGAAAAACTACTTCTTTTTACTAACGATGAAGTGTTTGTCACATAAGTGTAGCTGGTACGGCTGAAAGTGGGGGAAATCCACTCTACCTCTTGAAATTCTTTCACACGATCACTGACGGAGAAGTTCTACTCACTGTCTTCTCGTGTCAGGGATGTTGTTCACGAAAGTGAAAAGATGAAAAGCGAATATTCGGCGCTTATACCAGGTTAGTGATTATGGAGGATCTACCTAATGGATTTGAAAAAAGCAAAATGTACACAAGTATGTAGTCGTCTGGGCAGGCAAAAAATATCTCTAGTGAATAAATTATCAGAATGAAAGAGAAGGTACATTCACTGTAACAAAAATACAATAATACTATTTACTTGTGAATATATTAAACTTATGATAATTACTGAGCAATATACATATTGAAATGTTAACATATATGTAAATAAAAAACATAATTTAAAAATAAGATTATGGTGACCTAATGCAATACAATGTAACAGAGATCAACACAAAATGAATTAATCAATAAAGATTTTTTCAAGGAACAAGACAGGGTTCATTTGAAGTAATCTCGTCACTTATCAAAACAGATCAATAACCAGATAATTACTATTTGTCATTCAGTATTAGTATTTCCTAACTATGGTTATAACATAAACTTCGATTCTCAGTGTGTTTTCAATTTAGCAGTTGATGTAAAATAAAATACAAAAAACTGGTTTCAATTCGACTGTATCGTTTACGCAATTGACAAGGTCAAAATCGAATGTCCAGGACCCCAACCGTATTCTTAGATACAGAGGGTCCACCTAAGAGAGTTGGAGACCCTTATACCAAACTAATGGTGCGCATGGGCTTCAGAATTCTGAAGGAAAGGATAGCTTATGAACATTTTGTTTGTCACTGGTTACCATAAGACTGCAACTTTTAATGCTGCTCCGTTGCCTTGTGGTCATTTAGGTTAAAGGCTCGGGGAGTTTCCTATGAATCAAGCAATCTGCTTTGGTTTAGGCGCTCAATCAGTATGCCAACCCAAGAAGAAATTGAAACATATGATGCATAAATATTTTCTACCATTAATTATGTGTGTGAATAGATAAATATTCTTATTATCACTATAGTTCTACTGTTTTGTACAAACGTTACATCTATTGCACCAGCTTTTACTGTTTGCATTGAATGCTAAAGCAACTCAGCAAGTGAATACTTGGACGCTTGTTTTTTAAATTAACGTGTAGTAATTTAGTACATTGCGAATTCTCATATGCCTGGAATAACATGCAAGAATATACCAGACATCATATGTTTGCCTATTTTGATTGGAGTGAATTCAGGTAGTCTCGGTTTCTCAAACTTTTGAGGTTTGACTTTGGAATTATTTTTGCCTCCTTTGCTGACCTAATTTCTTGTTTTTCCAATATTGTATCATTTCCTCGTCAATATCTATTCAGGATGTTTAATCAACAAGAAACCTCTCAATTTATGATTGTTTTGTCAACTTGTATCGCTAGAGTAAATCTGACAATTTAGGCTACCCTTCATTTTCACAACGTTTAAAGATGCCTTTTTCTTACTCGTACGTAGCATTTTTATTCCGTTAAATTTTTGACCTATTTTCAAAAACAATATGCACGTATGCTGTTTGCTTACATCGATCTTAAGTTTCTACCAAATAAATACTGTCCTTTGGTGTAGCTGAGACTATCTGAGAAAGGAGGATTGTAATATCAAGGTATCATAATTAAAGCCGAGAGTTATTACCGTTAGTGCGGAATATATTAATATCTAAGCTCTGCAGTTCTCACGCAATCTCGAGCTCCCGCTAATAAGAATCCATTTTCACTAGATTCGTAGCTAAAGTTGTTACAAAAATCATTAAATACACCTGTACTACTTATGGAAAATATCAATAGTCTAGATCTATACACATTTTTTTCAATTTCTCAGGAAACCATCAGGGTGGCAATTTGATGTTTAAAGTGGCATTAAAATGATTCGATTTGAATAGGGTTTCATTTACATTGAAAACATCCACGTTTTAGCATTTTATTGCGCAGAAATTAATTAGTTTTTAAAGTACATTTTCTTCGTTTTTTATCTGAATATTAAGCATTTTATGTGCAACATATTTTTCCGTACAACATAGTGTATTTTTTTTCTGTTTTCTATTAATTCGATGGGTACTGTGGCATTTTTTAGCACAAGATAGTTTTTATATACAATATCTTTAACCATTAAAACATAGATATTTTCACTGTTTGCATAAAATCACAGACATAAAATGACTTTAAACTTAAATGTTCTGTGTAATCGGATGATTTGTGCTCCTTGCTTAGATTTAAAAACTGCGAACTTACTAGTTTAAATATATTTTCTATCTAAAATACTTTTCACTGAATCGACATTTAGGTAACCTTTGTTTATTAAGATAATTTTTAAATGTTACCATTTACGTGGGCGTATTAAACTATGGATGTGATGAAATATTTTAGTATAAGTCCTAGTATGCAGTACATTTTCAAAGAATTTCAAAATATGCGTTTTATGTTAAATAGCTGGTGACAAGCAGTCGACAGGACACCTTGTACCTATTAAGAGGGTAATTTGTGTTCGAACCACACGCGGATCAGTCACTTTCGAAAAACCTTGGTTAAGAGTATCTTGTTAACTTTTTTCAACCAAAAATGTTTACTAAAAGACAATCACTATCGAATTTCGTAGGATAGTGACCATATAACAACTTGATTGATCGGCACTAACGAACTAGACAAACATCAGATTAGTTATCAGTCAGTGTGAAAGTATGTATGTTTTATTTGTGATGTGAACTTTATTCTTATATCCACATAAAATTTTGTCCATTTACTTGAATTCTTCAATCCCAATATCTGTTTCATCATTCGAGAATAGAGCTTCAACAGAACCAGTTCCGTTCGTTAAACTGACACAATCTTGAACATGTTGGTCAACTTCCCTCGAGCTATATATACAGGTTGATGTTATGATAAATATCGCGTTGTTTTCTGTGATTCGTTAGTGGATTTTATGTCTGCCTAATAGAACAATGTTATATGGCCTGGCTTACATTTACATTTACAAGATTATTGGAAGATTGTCAAATCAGTTACTAAATTTCAAGCTATCTTCCTCTTTTGTTATTTTTTATTTTCTTGTGTGCAAAAATTATTTCAAATGTATCAGATTTGCCGGTCATATCTACTTGATTGATACTCAAGGGTTTTTCTAGTAATCCACTCAGTTTGTTGATAGTATTCGTCACTGAATGTTCTCATGTGGTGTACTATTAAGAACCAAGTCACACTGTTTCGTCTTTGCATCGGACTCGTTAGCAGTCAGTCAATTTCCATATAGTGCTCGGTATGTGAGTATATCTGTTCAAGTTGCCATATCATATTAGCTCAGTAATATGAAATCGTTCAAGTGAATTTCATAGTAGTAGAGTTAGTAACACTATCAAGTAAAATCAATCTTTGAGGAATACTACCTAGAAACCTCTTCAAAGAAATTGTAATAGTCAGTTCACGAGCGACTTCCTTCAAGATGTTCTATGAGTTTCAGTTAGAGGTTTTGACCGGTGGAGTTTAGACGTGTTAAGGATCGAACGTTTGTCACTAACGGGGTTGGATGCTGGTAGCGTTTTATCAAGCTGGTGATTTTAACGGTTAAGCGTTCTCTGTGAGGCTTGGGTCTGAGCCTTGGTTTGATATTAGGTGCATACTTTTGAGGAGTTTCGTAAGGGATTGCCTGATAGAGATTAGTGTGTAATGTCTATTACCTAAAAAGTATTTACACAGTTAAAAGCAATTTACATCAATCACTATACTTTATTCGTATAGAAAAGGAAATATACACATTATTATCAAACTCACTAATAACTTGCATCAGTTAAATAACAACTTATGTTTTTACAATACGTCTATCTAAAAAAAGATTGTTCACTTGTTTGCAATTATTTTTCTGGTATTTTTGTATATATGCGAAAATCATTCACGTGTTAGTGTAATCGATCGATCATGGGCCATATATTTTGTGATTGATATTTCAACTAGAATTACGTAGGTTAGAATACCTGTTCCGTTTAGCTAGTTAATAATTGTCGATTTAACCACTTCAGGTTGAAAAGTAATGATGTTAATAACAAACATATATAAAAAAATATAAGTTATGCTACTGCTTCTGTAATCAATCCAGTTGGTTAAACTTGAACAATACTTATTCCATTAAGATAACACTAAAATGAAGTAAAAATAAATAGGAATATTAGTAATTTCAAACACTTCGTAAATAACTAGAACACATCTTCAAAGTATTCTAGTTAAAGGTGAAACTTTGTTTTTCAAGATATGAAGGAAAACTGACAGCAGTACAACACCTTGAGTATAATATAGAATTCAAGAATAAGTTTGTTTATGGATTCACTACCCGCATAATTTGATCATATCAATTGATTTATTGTCTTTCTGTGGTAGTTTGCATTCAAATGTGATCGTTGTTCACTTGGTCATCAAAATGTTCTAATAGTAACCGATAGAGTAACCTTACGTGTTTGTTTAACTACGTTTTTTTGGGTGATTCTTTCCATTATTTCCTTGGATAATGCCATGTTTCTTCTTATTGTGTAACTTATGAATTCGATCACTGAACTGTTTGCTCCTAATGTACTTGACGTATGGTTTGATTTTTCCAACATACTACTGATAGAAACTCATTTTATAAATAAATACGTAGTTGGATAAATTGTGAAGAATGCTTTATAATCACGAACTGAGTTCTATTGGTGAAGTGTAATTAATCTTGATGGACGGTTATAGTATGTAGTTGTAAATGGTGACTACTGTGGATTCGAACTTAATGGTTTATAGATAGAGGCCTCGGCGGGACGTTTCGCGAATATATATTCCAAAATACTTTTATAATACTATGAAATATGATTTTTTTTCATTGATGTCTACTGGCTGACATCAGTCTTGAATAAAATATCAGTTGCTTGTTAAGTATTCATTGTCATGTTATAATCAACAAAAGAAGTCAATAATTATCAATTTATTTTTTTCATTGAAATTATAGGTTTTACAAAATAGAAATACTGCTTCCGATGATAGGAATTTACTTAATTCATTCAATTGTCAATCCCTTGTTGAAAATTCAACTTCTATAATAAATTCAGGAAATAATAATGATACAGCTGTTAAAAAACCTTCAGTCAACTGTCATCTTTTCACATCATCATTACCGACAGCATCAATAATGACAACGCAACCAGTAACAACTGATACACCATCATATTCCAATGGAGATAGGAGCCGAAATATTCCAAAGAGTCGTTCGTTAAACAGTGATTCAAAAGTGGTATGTTTGGTAGCGTATTTATTATTCATGCTGATTTTAATAATAATAATGATAATAATGTGTTTGAAATATCCTAAAGAGTAGTAAAAAAATAGATACTCTTTCTGATTCTTTGTGACTTTTTGTGTAAGGAATTTCTTCATATAATAAATATACAAGTTAAATTAACCCAAGATTAAAAAGTACAAAAGTACAAAGCAAAACTACAATCAATCAGGTCTGACCAAGTCAATGTCATATCACTCCGGTCAAGGTAATTTGATGAAATATGCTGGTGTAATTGAATATGTGTGTGTGTGTATTAGTGGGTGTGGGAAATGTAACATTTGAAATGTGAAACGATAGAGTTCAATTTGTATGTACGATATTAGTGTGTGGTGCGAAAAGAACCAAATGTGGCTAGGTCGGAGAGATGGTCTAAGTCAAACGGATAGTAAGGCTTTATTTTTCTATTAAGGTTAATAGAATTCACCAATATATCCTAGAAAATGATTTAATTTATCAGGTACCAGTTTAATATTGAAATTGCTCAAATTATGCTTGAATTCAATCATAATTACTTTCAGCCATACATTAGGCAAACGAATGGATTAGCAATCACATCTACTGTGTACATAATTTTAACCAACCTGTTTATGCCATAGACAGAATTACATTTCGTCGCCAGTGACATTGCACCACTAATATTGTACATACAAATTGAACTCTATCGTTTCACATTTCAGATGTTACATTTCCCACACCCACTAATACACACATACACACATTCAATTACACCAGTATATTTCATCAAATTATCTTGACCGGAGTGATATGACATTGACATGGTCAGACCTGATTGATTGTAGTTTTGTTTTGTACTTTTGTACTTTTTAATCTTGGGTTAATTTAACTTGTATATTTATTATATGAAGAAATTCCTTACACAAAAAGTCACAAAGAATCAGAAAAAGCTTGTATTTTTTCCTACTACTCATTGGCATATTATAAATATGTTTTTTTTTTAAAAAAATAACAATCTGTCCATTGCTCAGTTTTTTATGAAAATAAACAAAATCAAACTTTGGTCCGTTACTCAATTTGCAGTCATGTTGAATTAACCTTCCTTCCTGAGTTACTTCAATAGCTGTTTAGTTTCATTGACGTATTCTTTCTTCTTGATGAATGAATAAGTTATATAAATTAAATAAATTTAAGTCAACATACCCATCCAGGTATGTTTGCAACTTGAAATGTTTTGTTTTTATCATATGAAAACAATTTCGTGACATTGTTGTATTAATAATAAATATGATAATAACGGCTTTAGTTTTATTATTATTATTATTATTACTGTTGTGACCGTTAACATATTTTCATGAAATCTATTGTTTGTGTGTCATTATTACTTTGTTAACTGCATAAATTATGCACAGGTTATGATTATATGCCTTTGTAGTGTTGACATTCATTTTGTGCTTTTTCTTTTTGTCCTAAAACTTCCAGTGTATTCATTCATTCATTTTAACTTGGTTTCTTTGAAATTTTGATCAATGATGAAAATGATGAACTTAGCTGTATTGTTTCGTTTTCTTGCCTTATTCTACATCCCTGTGTATCCTAGCTATAGTGATGTTTGTTTTTTATTTGTTATCGCTGTGTGATATTGAACCATCGGTTTTGATGTCTGGCATATCTTCGTCATATTGTTGAGCAGTTTTCAAAAAATTTCATACATTTGAATTATGTTTATTACAGTTTTAAGTCTAATTTTCACTAACAGTTCACTCCGTTCTGAACCATAATTTATATCTGAAGATTATTGATGTCATTCGATTGCCTAGATCAATATTGGCCGACACTCAAACCTGAGACTTTGTAATCTAAAGTTGGTCGTTGAACTTCATGTTACTAATACTTCATTTATTTACTATATAAATGCGAATGCGTGATTATTAGTATTAGACTTCTCGAATATGTATTTGTAACCGTAACCTGTCATATCAATTTATCGATGGCGTTAAGTGTATCCATCTGATTATATCACAAGTGTTGATTAAATCTATGATTATACACTATTGTCTTCTGATACACTTTGATTTGATGAAAGTCCCATGTTCGCTGCTAGTATTGGCTCCATGTTAGACTATCTGCAAACGCAGTTATGTATTCTCTAAGCATTTCAAATCCAAAGCAAATCAAACTTTCCTGTTGTTTTTTTTTGTTTATAATTTATCCTATAGTTTATTGTAGATATTATTGCAGATATTATGTACGACTGAAACTTCTGATCAGTGTACATCCACAACACCAACCAGCACTAAACACAGGCCCTTCAGGCTTCATAGCCGGCACTTAACCTTCCAGCTCTGAAGTGGGCATCCAATGACGTACATTTTTACATTCAATCAAATCAGATCTGTAGGTCGTGTGCCAATCCGTGTTAGGGTCATAGATGCGCATTCATGTGGACAGGAAAGCTGTTCAGTGCTTTTTAAATTTCAATCATCGCCTAATGGCGGTCAGTCTGCTATGCAAATTTCAAATTCAGCCATCTCCTAAACATCTTATAGATGCGAAATGTTCAAAGAAAATCACTATTGTCTATTAGCGAAATATTGGACACGAATTCAATTTCTGTTTTCGTACTCTTATTTGTATCACAAAGTCTCATTAACAAAGTTTTTTTTTTCATTCATTTATGATAAAAGAAAACTAATATCAGTGAATAATGATAATAATAATAATAATAATAACCCGACTTGTCTATCTTCTATTATTTTATCATTATCAAAATTATCATGATGTATTTCTTTGTCGAAATGGTAAAGTTCAGCAAAACAAAATTCTTTTCATATCGTCTATTTCTTTTCTTGCGTGTATAAATCTCTACATATCCTTGTGTGTATGTGTGTGTGGATTCTTCTGATCGACCTACATTATCGTTATTTCTCATAAAAAAACCCGGAAAAACTCTTGCATTGTTTATCATTATCAACGTAATTTCGTGAAATAATTGAACATTTTTTCATTTTTTTTGTGTTTTCGGAATTAGAAAAAAAAGTCTTGGTCAATTAGTTTGTATTAAAACACAAAAATGTTTTATCATAATCGGCACACTTGACAAATAATAATAATTAAAAACAGGAAACGTTGGCGATTAGGGCAATAATGTATTTTTTTTTAAAATATTAATTCTGATAAAATATCTATGTGTAAATTATTATTTTTCAAATATATTTCTTCAAAATAATAATGTTTGTTAAATTCACCTATTGTCGTGAATATACTCAAAACAATCCCACTGTAGTCAGTTATTCCGATTGTAATCTGTGCATCGGTTTTTGACACGTTGATAAATTAATGTCGAGAATTCCAACGTCACTGAAACTTTACATTGATCAATGATAGGTGTTCATATAGGGAAAAAAATTGGAAAATTTGAAATCTAGCTCACTGGCAAATTAATCACTTTTACTTTATATAGCTTCAACTAATTCCCAATACTGATGATATTGTAAATCTAAATTGTTTACTGTTCACATTATTTATACATGATCATGTATGGTGAAAAGTTATATTTTCTTATGAATATGCATATAAATCACAATTCATTTTTATTTCAACGAAGTTCTAATTTTACTTTAGTCAAATATTTCTCTAGAGGATCGTCTGTATGGAATATGGCGTCAACTTATACCACATTGTGCATCGAATCACATATTAGTTTGGGCGCATCAACAAGGTGCCAATGCATTTATTCATCCATTTAAACCGATGCCTGATGTGTTTCCTGGGTTCTTATCACCAGCTTCAGTTAATCCATTAAATAAAATGTCTTCTGCTTCTGTTAACACTAATAAAATACAAGAAGTGTCAGAAGATAATTGTCACTCAGCAAAAAATCATTCTGAGTCAATTTTCCCGTCTACTGAACATAATGATCTCACTTCTGACAAAGGTATGGAATCTTTGTCTAGTCACTATGACAATCTTAACTCAGCACAACATCACAAACCTAAAATGCAAATTGACAAACAATTAGTATGGTCGAATGATGGTTTATCTAAAGGATTAAAGTACGTTTAAAATATATTATGCTACTAATATGCAATACTTGTCACTAAATGTTTAGATCTTTCAATTAACTTGGAAAACTCTGTGTTCAGTCAATTTTCTAACTCCTACTCTGTATGGTGATTCATATTCACGAACAGTTATTTCATAGGTCTGACCTCGACTTATTGCTTAAACTGTCTCACTAAAGATCAGTTTTTATACCATTTTCTTTCAAAGTAATCTGCAGAAGGCCCAAGATAACCTAACGATCAGATGCTAGGATTAGTAAGATTTCTGTGTTACGGATCATACACGTCGTAACTAATTAATTCAGTGGATAATCTATGTCAAAATGAAATTGTGCAGAGATAATGAAATAACAGATTTGAAAAAAAGGAATAGAAATTAGTATATGAGAGTGAAATACTGGTAATAATAGAAGAAGAAATAGCTCAATTGAAGAATGTATAACCGAAAATAATTCTTCCGATATGAGGAGCTCCTCTCACTTATGTAAAACAAATGATAAAAAGTTACAGTAGGATTGATACTGACTTCGATCCTGATCCATGTCTGATAGCGTCTGAAGCTGCAAAGTTACACCATTCTTAAGACCCCAACTACAGAGTCGTGAAGGACCAAGTGAAGCCATTCCTGAACAGGTTCCTTCCATCCCACAACACCACATCTCCACTTTTTCCAATTAGTCACAGCCTTGGAAACTAATGCACGATGTGGAGTTCGCTGGAACCACATTCGTAGTACATGTCCAAACCACCGGATTCGATGCCTCAAGATGGTAACATCAATCGAATTGTTGTCACTGTTCCCATACACATGTTGCCGAATCTTCGCATTACGAACATGGTGTACCAACAAATATCAACAATCCTCCGACCACATCGATGATGGAACACACAGAGTCGACTCATTCCAGAGTGTAGAAACACCCTCTAATTATAAAACGATTGTAAACTATTCTGTCACTTCCTCAACCACAAGATAGTCACAATCCTTCGAAATAGCCGAGGCTAAGTCATTTCGGCCTGGTGATTTGTGGCGTTTAAGGTGATGCAGTTTCTCCCAGAGTTCTGTCATGTCAGGTAGATCACCAACCATGAAGGAGTGAACAGAATAGTCGGTTTAACCGAAGCAGGCGACCGACTGGACTGTTCCTCAAACAACTCTGTCCATCTTCGAAAACGCCAGAGGATGTAATTGATTAGCGTCGCATCGACTTCACAGATTGTTTTACGCACACCAGACCTCCTACAGTCAGTGTATTGGATAAGGTGGAAGGACTTTGGGTAGTTAATAGATTCAGCTGCTACTTCTGACTCGTTAGCACACTCTGAAAACCAGGTTTCTTGGTCTTTACGCAAAGTTTGCATTAATTGGAATACGCAACAATCTTCATTTATCGTCCAGCTCGCAGTTATCTGGAGTCGACCGATGTGTTATAATTAGTTTTTAGGAGGGTGTGGAAACACAATGTTGATAGGTGAAATGTTCTAGGAAGCCATAAGTGGCCTTACTCGCCGTCTTTGTGGCGTCATGCAATTGCAGCCAAAGTTAATCTGTACTTTCCGGTTAGTCGATAACGAGCCTTGAACTTAGTTCAATTAAAAAATATTATTATTGAATAAAAAGTAGTAATTATCCAATTTTTATGTTCTGGTTATTGATCTGTTTTGTTAAGTGACGAGATTACTTCAAATGAACCCTGTCTTGTTCCTTGAAAAAATCTTTATTGATTAATTCATTTTGTGTTGATCTCTGTTACATTGTATTGCATTAGGTCACCATAATCTTATTTTTAAATTATGTTTTTTATTTACATATATGTTAACATTTCAATATGTATATTGCTCAGTAATTATCATAAGTTTAACATATTCACAAGTAAATAGTATTATTGTATTTTTGTTACAGTGAATGTACCTTCTCTTTCATTCTGATAATTTATTCACTAGAGATATTTTTTTGCCTGCCCAGACGACTACATACTTGCGTATATTTTACTTCTCAGATTTCACATTTAAATTTAGTGATAATGTTACAATTAAATTGGAATGAACAAACACACTTTAATTTTCACTGCAGTCATTTATTCTTAACATCGTTAGGTAAAAGTTCATTAGATAACCTTATTGGTTACATTGAATTCAAATTACATAGCCCACCACGTCTTATCGATGATATCTTATTCCCTGATATTTTTAAACCACATTAGTTTAGGAGTTAGGAATAATGCAAACCAGACCATTTCAACCTGATGTTCTAAAATATAAGTGCTTGTTGTATAACTTGCTGATCGTAGCATGCGATCTATTTCAATGAAAATGTTACTAATCGTAACGCAAATACCAATGTATTTGTAGTCAGTAACCTACATATGTGATTAGAAAAAGAATTTGTGTTGTTTGTTTGCTTTGTAGAAATGACTTTCACAAGTTAATAAATTTTAAGAAATCATTCTTCTAACCACACTGTGCAATTGTTGAGTTTCATTGGAATCATGTATCGCCTAGTATTAGACCACCATATATATATATATATATATATATATATATATATATATATATATATATATATATATATATATATATATCAACTAGTATAAATGATTCAGCGTCATGTACATAGCTGGCGTGTGTTCGAATCTGATAAGATTCCCCAATTCCTTCATGTTCGTTCGTCAATGAAGAGGAGTGCCAAATAACACAAAACCCTAAATCAAAAAAAATCTTCTACTAGTGCATTGATGAATAATGTTGTCTTATGTGTTTGTTTGCTGTTTTACACGTAATCGAATAAAAATAATAACCATTTCAATTTGTCACATGCTACGCAACACTCATGGTAAATTACACACTGGAACGTAAAGGAAAATTACTAGAACTTTTGTTTTTATTTTAAAAATTTACATAGTTTGTTAGATATTATGCTTTTTGGATTAGCGTCAAATTATTTGTTTCATGTAGAATTAGTTTGTGAAATTTAAGTTGAAAACGTAATTTTGCAAACAATTCAGTAGGACGATTCCAACTACTTGAGACTGTTTCCTTATTATAACTAATATTTGACCTAGGTAGCAGGACTTGTTATTAAAATATCTACGCTTAAATTCAATACATTTATTTCCAGTTGCCAGTGTATTATGATTTTACTCTGTCTCACTTGATGGATTATATAATAACAAACCTACATCTGAAAGGAATAACAAAATGGTCTAGGTTTAAAGCTACTTAATTCACCATATTTATCTCTATGCCATATGTTTTTGCTTTGTGCATTCACTGGTGGTCGATTATTGACATTAAAATCAATTGATGAATTGAATTAACATTTTCCCTAGAAATATGATCAACTATTTCCTTTCCTGTTCACTAGTCGATGTTTCAGTTATCTAGTTCATCTATCATGATAAAATGATTTCTTTGTAAGATGTTGAAAATCTTTATCATGTGTGAATTAAAACAAAGAGGATGAAGAAATGCAAACAGCTAAAAGATATGGTAAATAACAGTAACCAGTACAATTGTTTGTTAAATTTTATTCAGCCAGAGAAAGGATAAGGTTGTTACAAATCTTTTTTCATTAAATAGACTAAAGTTGTTGGTATAGACCTCTATAGCTACGGCTATTTGTCAAAGACAAGGTCGAACCCTGTTGAGAAATGTCGAAATGAAATGATATAGGTTTATCTACTATATGACTACTATCGACTTTATTAAGATCAAGTTATGTTTTACCTTCGCCTGAGCTTTTCCAAACCATATAGGTTGAGGTTTAATCATTCTTTGGTTTAGTCGACTGTTGTCACACCCCATGTACTTCTTCCTTAAGGAGCAGTTGAATTTGTAAAGGTAAAATAAGATGATTTATCCTTTGTCTAAGTAAACATCACTTCCCAAATGGAAAATGACGAAGATTTTAGATATATAAAAAGTCCTTCTAATAGTGGTGGTGTTTGGTTCTCTGAGCTCAAAGAACCGTAATGATAATGTGTCTGATTATGGTAATACTATTCAACCTAGAGCTATCCACCATTCAAAAACGCTCTACTGAAGATAAAACATCGTCTGTGGAGTTTATTGGATACAGTTTGCCTTTGTGGTAAACATTTTCATTCAATTTATGATATCATGTTATAAAACAATCCATCAATGACTTTTCTATCCTCATCTTATCTAAAGGATTTATTTTGTAGTCATGATTTATTGGTAGTAACCCAATAAAATTGATTTAAACAAGCATCCATTATTGCTGTGTACTATTTGAATATCCTTAAAGCAGAACAGAAAATTAACCTTGCTAAATAACCAATGAGAGTAAAAAGGTCATGAATCTTACTACCCAAAAATCGAAATTAAATAGTTAAAAAATGATTTTGTGTGGTTTAAACATTCTTCTGTAAATGATTTATAGCCTACGAAACAAAATCCATTCACGTCCACTCATCACAATCAATTAAATAATTCATCAAATATATTGCTACAAGCTACGTATAGCTTATGAAACTATTTATAGCTTATAAACATGGTAAATTTACTAGTGACAATAATGTTTGTCAATCAGTTTAGCACTATTAGACTTAACATGTTTGCCTATTTTTATTGTTCACTAGTTTTTATTCTGTGTGAAAAATGGTATGTATTAATTCTCGAGTAAAATCAAACTACAAATTATTGTAACATTTAAATGATTAGCAATCAGTTCAAGGTCTATGATTACTTGAAATCAGTTAAGATTAATTAGTTGATTTCATATGTTGGATTAGATTTTGTAACAAAATTATGTACATTTTTTAAGCATCAATGTGATTCATACAAAAATTCAATGACTTTATTACTTGTCCTATCTAAGTAATCATTTTCATTGCATACAGATTATTGATAAACTATTTATTATAAACAGATAAGTAAGTGTAAACTAAACTGTGATAGAACTCTTGTGCTAGAAATATCCCTTTTCAAATTTATTTCTACAATACAAACACTTTTTGTTCCAATGTAAAAATTTTCTTTCAAAGAATTAAGGCACTGATGCTTATTATTTGGATTTCAATGATAAGAATTACTAATATTGTAAAAATAAAAACTAAATCAATGATGAATAACACATAAGAAAAAGTTCTTTGATTTCGTCATTTGAATTCCATACAATAGTCAGCTGATTGTTCAGAGTTTGTTTTTTTCGAAATAATCTAAAATTAGTAAACACTATGCCGACTTATTTTTTTTTTGCAGATCATTTGTAATACTTAATGACAATCTTATAGAGTTAAAAAAAAAAATGAAATACAGAGTAGAATCAAGGTGATTGATGTTTCAAACCTAATCTAATTCATTAAATGGCTCTTAAATAGGTATGCAAAGTAAAATCAGACACACACATGCAATAGGCCTCCTAAACCACCTCAAGTCACGTAATAAATTCAGGGTAACAAGATGATTTGAAGTAAAGACAAGGAACTGGTACCTAGTGGTGGTGCCTGCAACACTGAAAGTCAACGCTTATCCTACTTAATAATTGATTAACCTAGCATTCAGGAATAAACATGCAAATTAGACAGTTTAAACGTTAATCCGTCTATAAATATTAGTACATTAACCTAGAAAGTCGTATGTTGAAAATGATGATTGAATTACATCATCTCAGGCGTCAAATAAAGGTCGCTTAACGATAGAGAATGATAGTAAGGTGACAGTGAATTTATGAAAGATAACTATCCAAATGATGAGTATGAGAAACGTGAAGAATAAATAAATCAGCATGAAATTGATGATGATAATAATAATAATAATGAATAATTGTAAAAAGAAAAACACATTTGAATGATGTATTGATAACCAAACCACAATCCATGAAAATCATGTGTTAAAGCCATGAAATAATGACAGTGTTCATGGGTCACATTTGAACTTAGAGTTCAAGTTTGAAAAGACCAATTACAAATGTGTGTCAGCATTGCAACTTAATGACTTATAGTCCTTGCGAATCCAATTGTTTGATTGTTTATATGATGATTGTAAAGAAAATATCTAATGAAACTACATAAGCAGAATTAATAATTTTACTCTTGACCTTTCGCATACTCATCAAGTAGATAATTAACTGTGATATATTTAATTTCAAATTGTTCTCTATTTTTACACTTGATCGTTACGCAACTTTTACTTGACACACAGTATGATGTAATCGTTCTATTTTTAATTGTGTACTACTTTATACATTCATTAACTAAAAATACAATAATTGCATAGTGTGAGTAGATGATATCGTCAAAATAAAACACTTTGCTCTAAATTGCATTTATGTTTTCATTTCTCTGAAATCTTTGCAATCTTATTTTACTTTGATTTCAATTAGATCACCAATTGTTGGGACCGATACAATTCCACATCCCACTTATAAAAAACCACGTTTGTCTAATGAATACAATAGAAATAATCCTACTAGTACACAAGTTGTGTATACTAATGTATCCAATGATTATAAGAGCAATGATATTGGCATTGAGAATAGTACTGACAAGCCAAGAAAACATTTCACAAGAAGACGTCATTTATCTGCTGGACCTATACTTATGAATCATAAAAATGAAAATATTATACGTAAAAGTGATAATTCACTTCCTAATACAAATGATCATGTACAATCTGAAAAGAATACTCAATCACTTATAGGTACCACCAATGTTATTCCTGAGGAAATTGAAGAAATGCGTTCTAAAGGTAACCCTTTTTCTCAATAAACTAACAATAATGATATCAACCTGTAAATTATTCCTTTATTATTATGTTAAAGGCTCCATGTTTGCGCTATATTAAAACCTAAATATGAAAAAGATCAGTGAAGAGTATTCTTTTCGGCGCAATCATGCTCAAAACTATACAATTTCAAATGTATATTTTATTTTCGCAATGATGTGTTTGTCGAAAATTCGAAACAATGATTATTCTTAACAAAAAAAATCCTAGAAAGTATGATTTTTAAGACCATAAGGGGGTTTCGTTTACTGAGCTGAGTGAAATGAAACTTCACCATATTCATCCACCTGACCTACAAATTTTCTCCACCAACTTTGAATATTCATTAAGAATATCATAAGCGTTAAATAAATAGTAATGACAATTATGAGGAAGGGTTCATGTAACAAGATGAAATATGAGCGTTAAAAGGAAAAGTTATCAGATAGATTATAGAAGCATATCTGTCAGTTAGTGATTCGCATCCGTCTCTACAGTTCATGATAATATGTAGATCTACTCCAGATAACTGCGAGCTTGACGATAAATTAAGATTGTTGCGTATTCCAATTAATGCAAACTTTGCGTAAAGACCAAGAAACCTGGTTTTCAGAGTGTGCTAACGAGTCAGAAGTAGCAGCTGAATCTATTAACTACCCAAAGTCCTTCCACCTTATCCAATACACTGACTGTAGGAGGTCTGGTGTGCGTAAAACAATCTGTGAAGTCGATGCGACGCTAATCAATTACATCCTCTGGCGTTTTCGAAGATGGACAGAGTTGTTTGAGGAACAGTCCAGTCGGTCGCCTGCTCCGGTGAAACCGACTATTCTGTCCACTCCTTCATGGTTGATGATCTATCTAACTAGACAGAACTTTGGGGGAAACCGCATCACTTGAAACGCCACAAATCACCAGGCCGAAATGACGTAGCCTCAGCTATTTCGAAGGATTGTGACTATCTTGTGGTTGAGGAAGTGACAGAATTGTTTACAATCGTTTTATAATTAGAGGGTGTTTCTACACTCTGGAATGAGTCAACTCTGTGTGTTCCATCAGTCGCCATCTTATCGAACTTCTTCCCTCACGCACTCTTTGTCAGTTTCTCTGGATTCGCTTTTTCTATAATTTTAAAGCCATACCGTAGGCTATGGTAATCTGTGAGTCTGATGGAAAAATGTAACATTTTGATAGCCGATCTTTTATAATCCGCGTCTCTTTATGGGAAGGCAGGATCTAGTCAGATGCTGTTTACCTAAGGCAAATATTTTGCCGGTATCAGCTTTATAAAGTTTGCAGTAGGACTTACAACTACAAACATGAATTTCCTGCTTTTAGTTCTACTGCTCTCCAGCCATTCATCTAAAGAAACAACTGTAGTGTGTACTGATAATTCGGAACCACATGGCTTGTTCTAGCCTTTGAACAATTTAGTTAATCTATTCTTCTCCGGTTATTTTGGGAACGTCGTTTGACGTTTCCAATTATTTACTATTTAGGTTGGTTGTTTCCCCTTCAGTACGTTTGTATATTGCTTACTACCTACTACCAGAATCTAATAACCTCTCCAAGTAAATGAAAAACAGACGTCTAAATATGGTGACGCTTATATAATACTTCACCACCGTATTTTGATATCCGAAATCTAACTTCAACTGAATTCCATAAAACATTAATTGTTTATAGTTCCCACTGGACGTTTATGGTTGGATAGACGCATTTATGGACCATGGAGACATCACGTCACTCCAGAAGCTTCAAGGCGTGCATTTCGGTTACCAGATGATAATGACTTTTCAGCCAATAAAAGTCCAAAGAAAAGTGTTTCGAATTCTACTACAAATCAACTTGAGAATAGATTATCTGTTGATAGTCTACCAGCAGTAAGCGGCAGTGATTTGGATGTCATGCTTTTTGCTAAATATGGTGGTGTAATACCTAAAACTGTTGGTATTTGGTCTGATATCAATTCAAATGATAATAATAATAATTCAGATGAATTTTTACAGTTACGTTTAGCACGAGCATGGCAACGTAAAGCGGAACGTATATGGCATGAGTTAAAAAGTCGTGTAAAAGCTGTTGTATTTACTGATTCAGCAGATGTGTTAGATCTATGTGCAGCTGGGGTTGGATGGGGATTAAATATGCTTAATGAACAGGATAATACTAGAAATGATGAATTGCCTTCTATTTATAAGCCTACCATATATCGACAAAATCTACCAAATAAAGTTTTACAATTCAGAGAATGGTTATCACAGGTATGTTATTTTTATAAAGAAAGAACACATTGTTGTTCATTTCTGATAAGGTACATTTATACTAAAGAGTAACTCCCCGATATTTTGTTGAATTCATCCCTAAATTGAGAGCGTACCTCTAACAGTTTCGACTTTCGTATGCCAGGGAGTTTGGCTTCAGTTTAGTTTGCTCATAAATTTTAAACAAGTCTACAAAACATATGCATCTTTGCTTACTCTATACTTAACTACTAAAAAGCATTAGTTTATCTAAGTATTATTCAACAAGGAATGAAATTTCAATATCCGTCCTACCTTACTTTGCGTTAAGGTGATTTAAAATAATCGAACTAGACTAATACATCTATCAGAATTATATGAATTAATAACTGCAATATATTTCTAACGAACTGATCGTATATAGATCACACTAAACATGAATGAAAACGTAACAACCACTAAACCAAGGCTTCAACCCATCTAAGTATTCACTCAGACCTAGATATGACATTGACAAGGGTGGAATTCAAATCAATTCATTGAACTATTTCAACCATACATTCAACAATACATGAGTATTTGTTATCCATTTTGGTCTATTTCAATGCGTCTAATAGTTACTTTGAAGTATTCTTGATTTAAAAGATAATTGTTAATTTAAGTAAATTGCTGACTTATTTACTCGTTTTTCGTAGTGTTCAATGAGCATTGTGCACTAAAATGAATGTTCAAAGATATTGAATTGTGAAATATCTAGGTGTATTTATTAGCGGAGGATTTTAGATAGGAGTATTATCTACAACAAACTTTCCATGTTGGTCTGTCATTGCACCATTTGCCTAAATTTTATATGTCTACTGTCATTTGTAATCTACTGATATAAAATTCTTTTTATGCTTTCTATATAGAATTCGGTAAACTATGTAGCAGCCAATGTTGAATTAGGTGCACGACTGAATCCACAAGTTAAAACACAACAATTTGCTATCCCAGTACTTTCATCGAGTAAGTTTTCTCTAATTCACTATAACATATAGCGCCAAATAGTCTTTCAGTACTTGTTTTACCTAAGTATGTATATATATATATAGACCTTGTCGATAGATGTAGCGTATCTGACTGAAGTCCATCAGGAAACCGCAATAAGTTGTTGGACACCAAGTGGTAAGACTTATAATCATTGACGATATTGCAGAAGCATTTACTACTTATCTTATTCTAAATCCTGAATGCCCATAGTAATGTGATATGACGACTGGAACTGATTCACATATTTATTCCACAGTATCAGGTTTGATCAGGTTTTCCACTGATGATTCATGTTAGAGTGAATACTATAATCTGTTTCGTCTGAGAACGTTGTCAGTTTGTTTTCTTTTCAACTTTTTCTTGTTTTCAATTAAAGGCACAACAGAACATGATCTTATTCCTAGTACTGTATTACAACATGTATTTGATTTTTTCCAATCGAAATTACAACCATTACATTCAAAAGAAAATAATGAATACACAGCAAGTTCACAATCGTCTTCAACAATCATGCAACATAATACTTGTTCGATGTTATCATCTGTACATCATTCATAAAACCAATTAATTTAAACATTGAACTTTTTCCGGGTTTGTTTTCCTCATTTTTTTCCTTCCAGAAATCAATAGATAATAAAAAAAAACTTGTAATGTATAATAAAAAAATCTTAATTGATTGTTTTCTTTAAATTGTTTTATGAGGCTTGGATACTACAGTAGAGTAATGTAGCCAAACACGCCGTCAATTGATCATAGACCTTGCACTAAACCAACTGATATAGCAACACCAAGTGATAATCCAAAAGACAAGTATATACTTAATGCTGCACCGGAGGATTCTTGATTACCAGGTGATGCGAAACTAGTAGAAACAATAAATAAACATGAATATATATATATATATACATAAGCAGACAGAAATAGAGTTGGATGTGACAATAATGTACATTGATTCTGTTTGTTACATTTCATGTTATTAGCACAGAATGTGGAAAGTCGATTAAAATTCAAGCGATGATAATCCAAGTAGCTGCCTGGGTACAAAACCACAGAAAAATTCAGTGAATAGGTGATCAATTTCACCATACAACACTTTGTGTGGTACTGCGGAAGTTAGTCAGGACATTATGAACGTAAATATATGATCACAATCATTTTGTGTACACAATAGGAAATCTCTTAACAGCGTAGAAATTAGAATAAGACATGAGCCTATGAACTGATAGGTGAGTTTTTTAGATTCTAAGCAACATCTACATTACCTTGTATATTGTTTATTTATTAGTGTTGTTAAATTTCAAAACTTTTACGAGAGACAGCTACTTTTGAAAAATTAAGTCTCGGAACAAACCATACGAACCGATAACTCGTACGGGAAAGAATTTAACAAGTAATTAGTTGAATTTTAACTACCGAAAATACGCTAGTAGGATGGTTTACATAGATGCATTCATGTAACTGTTTTAGGCAAACAAATTAATATAAAGATGAGTTGGCTTGATTATCGAATCTTCGTTTTGAACTGTGATTTACGAATTTAAATTTCCAACAACCTAACAGTAGCTATTTGTAAGCTACAAGTATTCAGTCATAGATACTTTAGAAGTATTGTTCGTATATGTTGAGACTAACGAGTGTGCAACACAGGTTATACTGAGTAAAAGATAATGATCCCAAGTAGATTGGCCATCAAGTTCGTTTTTATCTACTGAGGTGGTTGGAATATGTACCGCGTATGTGTGAAACACGGAATAACTCGACTATCGGTGTTTAGTGACCTAGAATTAAGTTGGAGGGAAGCTACCACGGCCAAACCAGCAAGTGCCATCATTCTATGAAGTCACTCAATGGTGTACTGAGTTGTGTTCGTAAATACATACTACCTGGCTAGAGTCCGCGTGATTAGCATGAACGATGTTAGGGGACATTGAGTAGCGTGGCTTAGTACTGGTTACAATGGTCCTCATGCTTTCATTCTTCGTCTTCTATTAGGTCTTGGGTCCTGAAGTTCTTTACTTTTTCATTCTGTGAATTACTTTTTTCTTGATTTAATTTTCATTTTTCTAGTGTTTTATACTATTATTATTGTTACTATTACTATTTACTAATCATGATAATAATATTAATGATAACGGATTGTTTGATTAGCCACTGAGTAATACTGCTTAACAAAATTGTGAATAGATTCAAATCTTCAATCAGTTGTACACTTTAGTTAATCATAGCATAGAAGAAAAATACAAACAACAGTTACCTTGGTCCATGTATCATTGATATCGATACTAGATAACCATTAGTTATACCTAGAAATACAATCATCAATGCTGGAAAAATATCATGTTTAAATACGACTGGTAGATAATATCTGGGTTCTGCATTACAAAGCATAATTATTGGGATAACAGCAACACGTAGAATACATAATATTAAAACCAATACCATTTGATTTCTTCTAGGCTGAAAAAAAAGACCCATTAACATAAGTTCAAACTAAATAGAATTATCACATAGTTAAATATAAAACAACCTTCATAGGAATGACAAATTACAAGTAGTAGCTGAATCAAAGCCTAACTACTGACTTTGTCAACAGATAAATTAGATCTGAATTTTAAACAGTAGAGTTTGATTGAATGATCAGAATAGACATCTAATAAAAAGCAAATACAATATTGACTTTTATTTTAATAAAACAGATTTCTAGGTAGGTATGGTTGTAACTGGATAACCTGGGCGCAGATTTTATAACATGCTCATCGTCTGACTTTTTACAGGTAGATTTTTTATCAAGAGGTTTGCTTGCTGTCTTAGAATACTCACGTGATTTAATTCTGTTTGGTGAAGACTGAACAATGCTCTCTTCTAACCACCTTAAGCAACAAAGAATGTCTGGGAAGTGATTTTGTTCCCTTAAATTGGAAATGTTGCTTCTGGATTGGCTTGCGTCGATTCCGAAATCAATGATAGAGAGTGAAGTAGTTTGGGGTGTTAACTGCTTCACTTATCTCCGGGATCCCAGTAATCTTTATGGTCTGCTGTATAATAAAATCTCGGCATCACTTTAGGCGTGGGTGAGTTATCTATCTGCCAACCAAAAGACGAGGTTTCTGTGCAGCAATTCGTCCTACTTTAATTTACAGATGTGAAACGTGGCCACTAAAAAATAGAGGATATTCGTAGTCTACTAGTATCCGATCATAGTTGTCTTCGAAGCATTACTCGTGTATTCTTGGACCATCGATTAAGCGATGCTGAGTTTACGAAAAATGGTACTAAGTAAGAATGGCAAATCAATTGATGAAGTAGGGAGTCTTTATCAGTTGAGGTGGCTGGGACATGTTACGTATGCCAAACCACTGCCAACCTTGGTCAGCGGTATGATCTGGTGTAGGAGTAGGCTAGTGAAAAAGCAGACCAGTGTATAGCACCAGTTCATGAGGTTACTGACAATGGGACTGAACCATGTTAACAGGTCTAGACTACTTGGTTGAGGTCCATGTGGTTATTGGGACCAATAGTTAGAGACTGAATAGAATAGATCAAAATCATTGGCAATAGTGCAGGTACATTCTTTAGTTATCATCCTTGAAATTCTCAGTTCCTGAATTCCTCATAATTGTTCTGCTTAAATAATTTTTAAGGTTCTCAAATCATATCTTTGATCTACTTCCACTAGGCCTGACAATTCGATCTTGCTGTGCTAACGCGTTATGATTCTACAGTGCGACTAAGTATTAATTTCGTTTCCTGCAATTTCGATAAAATGATATTTGCATTTATTAAACTGACTAAAGTGAGTATTTTTAAGTTCGCATTTAAATGTATATGTAAATTTGTTGACCGATTCACAGTACATTGATAATCGTTCATTTATTCACAAGGTTTCTCGAGTTTATGTTTTACTTTCCTCAATATATAAATTCTATCACGTTATGCCTATTGAACTGTGGATACACTGGTAAACAAATCAATCTATTCACATTTATAATAAATAGGTCAATTTATTATAAACTTGATAAGATTTTTAACTTCTGCCTAATTAAATCACTAGTCTAAAATGGTCGATAATGACTAATGTCAGCAAATTGTTAATAGTGATATACCAGTTTTGAAGTTTTAAAAACAAACGGGCCGATCATTTATGATGATGAAAGTAATCGGAAAATCTGGTTGGTCACTGAATATCAACCAATAATCATGATGAATTCAGAAAAGTAATTACTCATCATTACAAGTTAATAATTACAGTCAATTAAAAACAATTTATTTTAGAAAGGAAAATATCTCGCTGTGCGAACCACTATACTTGTTTAATTACATACACCTGTTACCCTTCATGAAGCACAGGCTGCCGATTAGGAATCTCCGAGCAACTCTATCTTGGGCCCTCCTTTTCAGCTGTTCCTTAGTGCTGTCCATTCTGATGTTTGCCATCGATTTCCGGCGCAATGAATACCTTGATCTTCCACAAGTCCTTGATGATTCCAAGTTAGAGATGACAGTATAACGCAGTCTGGTGATTTGCATGAGTCCTATTCACCAGAGTTTTGTCCTAATTTCTTCCTCAGATGGAAGCTGATTTATTCTTTGGTATCTTACCAACAGATCCGGAGTACTTCGTGTAGACAAGTGAAAACCTGCACTTTTTGATATTTGTAGAAATTCTACAAGTTTTCACAAGATGGTGTTGACTGACTGCTGTTTTAAGTACCAGATGTTTTTCACTTGTGGGAAGGTTGCCCATGGTTTGCCGATTTTCGTCTTCGCATCTGTATCGGATGCCCCTTGTTTAACAGTGGTGCTGATTAGGTATTTAAAGGTTTCCTTATCTTCCAGAGCTTCTCAGTCAAATATGGTTTGGCTGGTGCTCATTGTTTTGTATTTAAGATTCTTGCCCTTGTCCTGTGTATTTTGAGACCTACTACTGCTACACTAGCCCTCCTTACCTACATTCGTAGTCGTGTGTAGGATAGAAGAGCCAAGACATCTACTAAATTCAAATCGTCCAGCTGCATCTAAGCTGTCAACTGTATTCCATGCTTCCCCAGAGATGTTGAGGTTTTCATAATCCAGTAAACCAACAGAAGATATAAAAAACATGACAGTAAGCAGCCTTGTCTAATACAGGTCTCTACTTGAAATGTTTCGCTGTTTAGATTCGCTGATTGATAAAAAAAATGAGTTCAGTACACTGACACAATTTCAGCAGTTTTTTCCACAGGGATTTTTGTGGTGAGTGATAAAACATCGAAAGATACTAAAAAATTACAAAAAACATTTGAACTGTCAAGCACTTTTCAAATTCAAAACTATCCTTCGAAATTCACTGATTTTCATTCATCTACTGCTTACGAAAGTCACTGATGTATTTAGAAAAGACTCAGTCAATTACAACGAAGAACTTCGTACGTACGTACACAAGATCAGGTTTCCATAACACACTAGCACAGAGACGCCATTGTCAGTTCAAATCCGAACATTAGAGTTCGAAGAAATTATACAAGAAGTATAATTCTGTGAAATAAATTTGGGAAGAGAAAGATAGAGGTAATGAGGAATTCAGAAGAAGTAATGAGAAAAGGATAGAGGGATTACATTTTTTATGGACTAAGGTCGTTAACTTAAATGTAAAAATTATTGGTTACAATTTCATTTAATTCTCGGACCTTTTGGTAGGTACAAAGTCTTTGACTGAATTATCTTCTTCTGCTCATGCTCAAGCCCGACCGTAGCTGCTACCTTGACGTGGTGGTCGGGCTTGCCTATCGTGATGACCCAACCGAGCTATACTGACTCGAACATATGTTCCTGCAGGTCCTACCATGCCAGACAGGTCGATTGGAGAACGATGAGACTAAAAGCAGCTACCCAAGGTCTGAGGGTGAAGTCGTACTGCTGACTGCAGAGGGGTGTGACAGCAGTAAGGTGTTTCCCTCAGACAACCAGCATCTGCAGCGATGCTGCCTTCTCACAAGGAAGGAAGGGTTAGAAAAGGTCGGCCCTAAAAATGTCAAACCTCCCCTAACTCACGGATTTCCGTCTCCTTGGGTAAGGGTGCCCACTAAGGGCCTTTAAGAACGGAGCTAATCTTCTAAATACCTTTCATAAAAAGGCCGTGCGTGACCGGCCTCAAGCAGTTGTCCCTTGGGCTCTGCGGTCACGCACCAACACTAATCCATCTTTCTTTTCAGGTCCCTCAAGAAACAACCTTCCACGGTGTGGGCAGCCGGGAAGTGACAACCGCCCTGATACCCGTAACAGCACGCGTAACAGCTCATGCTCAAGTTAACTGGAGCGTAGAGAGAAGCTATAAAAAACGAAATGTATCCGTTTCTCTAAATTTATACAATTCTAGTTGATCAAACAGAAAACAAATGACCTACTCGAAAATTGTTAATCCTGATCCCAAACAGCTAGTAGGGTAGAATATTGTGCCTTAGAAAGCAAGGAGAAACTATGCCGGATTTCTTATGAGAACGATTATAATTCTAGAAACTGGTCATGCATCTTAGAATAGATCAACTTTATCCTGTGCAGAAATTGATGATAAAATAAGTAGAACATTCAGAAGCTATTACTGATTAACTCACCATTGTACTCAAATACACTGTCCAATTTTTGTATTACCTACATTCAAAACGAAAATGAGTAGATAGGAACTGTTAACCATTCTGTCCCAGGTCTCCTATCGAATAGTAAGTCGACCAGACGTGAAGCAATGCATTCAACCTCAAACAAACTTCATAACTGTAATAAATATAGACCAGGTTGGGATAATTCTGTCTGCCTTAGACTATAATAGGCTTGATTTTGTTAACCATAATTTCAAAAGAAATATTAAGCTAATGGGAATGATTACCAACTGAGGATGGATGAAACGCCTACGTTCTAGGTAGCTGTGGTAAAGTAAGGTTTATGTAAATGTAAAAATATGTTTTAAGTATTAGGACGGTTTATTCATGTATTGAAAAGGTTATTGTATTACTAGCTAAATGATCAATTACCATTGTGATAATACAGTTCAAATATATTTGACACTTATAACAGTGATAGTGATTCAAGTTTAATTTGTTTATTTATATCAATCTGAAAAGTGTAGACCAACAGAAAACAATAAAATAAAATTTCATAATTTACCCATTTGATAAAACCAGCAAGCGTTCTGCCACACCAATCACCAACATTGTACATTAGGAATACAAGAACTGGCACAAAGTAAACATCTAGAAATGGATAAATACAGAAAATGTATTATTTTTATGTTTAAAAATTGATAGATAGCCATTCTAAATTTTAATTTTCTAAGTTATATTACAATATGTGATATTAACATTGCAACCTATTTACCAAGTACAAATGTGTATGTATGTGTGTATACTGGATTTCTAATTTACAGTGGGGAAATTCTATTACTACGAAGACTATATAAGAGTTAATAATGGTTTGGAATTAGGAATCCTGTTAGTTGCTAATCAAGTGATTTTAGTATTAAGGCACCAATTTGTAGGAAATTTAAAAAGCTTGAACAAAAATGAATGAAAACTGTTACGAAGTCAATACTTATCAAATAGCAAAATCTTTTGAACAAATATAGATTATTATTAATATTATTTGAAAATTCAATGATGAAAAGAACAAATGACAATTTCGATAGATATAGCAATAGCTGGTAATAGTTGTCAGTCAGTCGTACGTGCGTACATACGTTCAGGTTGCCATACTGCACTGCACAGAGACGCAACTCTCAGTTCAAATCCAATAGTGGTAGCGATAGTAAAAGTATTAGCAGTAATGGAGAAGATCAGAGTATAATTCAGTGAGATAAAGTTAGAAAAAGAAAGATAAAAATGATGAGGAATTCAAAAGGTTAGAATTTGAGAGAACACAAAGAGTGGATGCACCTGCACCATTGCAAACGGTTTTGAGCCATGTCATTAAGGGTCTCTAACCATCGATTACTATCATCCGACGGACCCCAACCAGGCAGTTTACATCTACCAACATGACTCAGTCCACTTGTCAGTGACTTCATGGATTGGTGCCATGTTTTGGTTTGACTGCCCCTGGCTTTCTTCCAACCTACTCCTACACCACAAAACATAGCTCTTCTGGGTAGTCGGTGGTTTGGCATACGTAACATACGTCCCAACCAACTCAACTGATGAAATTTCAATACTTTATCTACTGATTGTTGTTGCGTTATACTTGCTAGTCTCAAAATCAGGATAATCAACAAAAATATTCTAGGGATAAACGAATGTCCTACTTAGATTTTTGTACAGAATATTTTGAGCATTAAATAACTAAGGTGGTCTTTATCTGCCCACTATTTAGTCGTACCCCAGACAAGCATAACAGCAATGTCTTTGTAATATTGATAATAGTTAAGTAAATGAAGACAACTTTAATTGACTTGAAATACTATGAAGAAAAATGTTAATTAATAATTGTATAAAAATAAAAATAATTTTTAATTTACTTGTCCAAAGATCATTAGGGATAACTGTAATAGGTCTGATACGTGCTGTAACTGCTGGGAATAATGAGAGAGTAATCATCAATGTGATTAAAACACAACTTCCAGGAAGCAATGTTTCTTTCATTGTTGATAGGACACCAGTTTTATTTATGTTAATAACTAGTTCTTGAGATTCATTACGATCATTATTCACTCCTTCCAATGAAGAATCAGCCTCAAATTTGTCGTTATCTGCTGAGTCTGTAAAGAACAGAAACATACAAAGGTAAATTTAGGAATCAACATAAAATGTTTTCAAACAATGCATTAAACAATAATTCTTATCATTTATACACCGTAAACTAGTACCCATAACTCCGCCTGTAGACTCTTCGTGGCTACTGCCGGTCCCAAGCCCGGATAAAGGAGGAGGGTTCGACGAGACCCCATCCCGTCAAAAACTAACTTGCCAAAAAAAGCTAACCAGAAAAAATAATTCAAACCATTTTAACTCTACCCTAGGAGTTGGGAGAAGAATTATGACGTCGCGCGATGAAAGCCGAGTTCCTTCGGAAGCCACGAGGCGTATGCCTATTCTGACAACCAGAGCAACCATTCTTTTAGGTATATGGAACGTTCGTACATTGTGGAAGACTGGAAGACTATTTCAAGTTGCGGCAGAAATGAAAAGATACAACCTCGAGGTGCTCGGCATCAGTGAAACACACTGGACACAGGTAGGACAACTGAGACTAGCTTCAGGGGAACTGCTGTTATACTCTGGTCATGAAGAGGAAAATGCTTCACATACACAAGGAGTTGCACTGATGCTGTCCAAACATGCACCAAAGGCACTGATAGGATAGGAATCTCATGGAACCAGGATCATTAAAGCATCCTTCAAAACAAAGAAACAGGACATTACAATGAACGTCATCCAACGCTATGCACCTACCAATGACTACAATGACGACGTTAAAGATCAATTCTACGAAAGGCTACAGTCAATCGTCGAGAAATGCTCACCAAAGGATTTGAGCATTCTGATGGGAGAGCTGAATGCAGAATTTGGCGAGGACAACACTGGGTATGAAGACATCATGGGACGACATGGACTGGGAGAAAGGGACGAAAACGGTGGGAGATTTTTTTTTTTTTTTTTTTTTTTTTTTTTTTTTTTTTTTTTTTTTTTTTTTTTTTTTACACGGATACACAAAGCTACATGGATTTCACCGGATCACACTGCTCACAACCAAATCGACCACATCTGTATCAATAAAAAGTTCAGAAGGACCATGGAGGATGTGAGAACCAAGAGAGGAGCTGATATAGCTTCAGATCACCATTTGCTGATCGCCAAAATGAAACTGAAACTAAAGAAGCACTGGACAACGGGACAGACAACATCGCACAAGTTTAATACGGCCTTTCTTCGGGATACTGTAAAGCTCAACGAATTCAGGGTAGCCCTCACCAATAGGTTCCAGGCCTTTCAGGATCTACACAATGGAGAGGACGCAACATTGGAGTACAATTGGAAAGGGATTTAGAAGGCAATCAGTTCAACATATCAGGAGGTCCTTGGTCGCAAGAAGCACCATCACAAGGAATGGATCTCTGTTGATACTCTTGCAAAAATTGAAGAAAGGAGGAACAAGAAGGCAGCAATCAATGTCAGCCGAACAAGAGCAGAGAAAGTTAAGGCACAAGCTGCATACACAGAAGCAAACAGGGAAGTGAAGAAGAGCATCAGAGCTGACAAACGAAAATATGTGGAAGATCTAGCAATGACGGTGGAAAAGGCTGCAAGAGAAGAAAGCACCAGACAATTGTACGAAACAACAAAGAAGCTAGCCGGAAACTATCGTAAACCAGAACGACCAGTGAAAAGCAAGGAAGGCAAAGTAATCAGCAACACTGAAGAACAGCGAAATAGGTGGGTAGAGCACTTTCAGGAACTCTTGAATCCACCAGCTCCACTGAACACACCCAACATCGAAGCAGCCTCCACGGACCTCCCAATTAATATTGGCGCACCTACGATTGAGGAGATCGGTATGGCCAGCAGACAAATCAAGAGCGGCAAAGCAGCAGGACTAGACAACATTCCAGCGGAGGCAATGAAAGCAGATGTAGAAGCAACTGCGAAAATATTTCACATCCTCTTCAAGAAGATTTGGGATGAGCAACAAGTACCATCAGATTGGAAAGAAGGATACCTGATCAAAATACCAAAGAAAGGCGATCTCAGCAAATGTGAGAAATACAGTGGCATCACTATTCTCTCAATATCAGACTAAGTCTACAACAGGGTATTGTTAAACAGAATGAAGGACTTCGAGGTCAACAGGCTGGATAGTTAACAACATACGGAATTCTTATGATGGATTCAACTGCAAAATCGTGCACGGAGGACAGCTAACAGACTCGTTCGAGGTAATGACCGGTGTCAAGCAAGCTTGCTTACCCCCACCCTTTCTCTTTCTCCTGGTGGTCGACTCGATTATGAAGACGTCGATATCTGGAGGGAAGCACGGTATTTATTTGACAGCTAGGATGCAGATGGACGATCTGGCTCTTCTATCGCACACGCAACAACAAATGCAAGAGAAGACGACCAGTGTAGCAGCAGGTCTCAACATACATAAAAGAAAAAGCAAAATTCTCCGATGCAACACAACATGCACCAACCAAATCACTCTTGATGGAGATGCCTTGGAGGACGTTAACACCTTTACATATCTTGGCAGCATCATCGACAACCAAGGTGGATCGGATGCAGATGTGAGGTCGCAGATCGGCAAAGCGAGGGCTGCATTTCTACAGTTGAAAAATATCTGGAACTCCAATCAACTTTCAACCTAAATCAAAATCAGGATTTTCAATACAAATGTCAAGACAGTTCTGTGGAGTGTGGAGCGGAAACTTGGAGAACTACAAAAGTCATCATCCAGAAGATACAAGTATTTATGAACAGTTGTCTTCGCAAAATACTTCTTATTCGTTGGCCAGAAACCATCAGCAACAACGAACTGTGGGAGAGAACAAACCAGATTCCAGTGGAGGAGGAAATCAGGAAGAAGCGGTGGAAGTGGATAGGACACACATTGAGGAAAGCACCTAACTGCGTCACGAGACAAGCCCTCACTTGGAACCCTCTAGGCAAAAGGAAAAGAGGAAGGCCGAGGAACACATTACGCCGAGAAATAGAGAAAGATATCAGAAGAATGAACAAAAATTGGACAGAACTGGAAATGGAAGCCCAGGACAGAGTTGGTTGGAGAAAATTGGTGGGCGGCCTATGCTCCATTGGGATTAAGAGGCGTCAGTAAGTAAGTAAATAAACTAGCACCCATGAATCATTACAAATCAATTTATTTACACAGAAGGACTATTTTACACATCATTTTTGTATACTTAAAATAATGATGCATAAGACTGGTGAATGTACGCAAGAAAAAAAGTAAAATAATAATAGTTTGTCTATTATTTTACTAAACCAGATAGATAATGGGAAATTTTTGTTATTTTGTAATGAAACATAATCCAATAAGGGTTGACAAAAATATACCCTTCATAATAAGATTAGACATGATATAATCATAAGCAAACTGTTTGTCCGATGTCTTATTGACAAAATCACGTGTACCCATCAAGACTTTGGATGAAAGTAAACTTTAGGTAGAAATAAAAAGACAATTATCGGTTACATTAACAGTGACACAATATTTTCTTGGTAGCTTAAAATCCTTCTCAGAAATTCTTCTGCTTTAAAAATTTCTAGTTGAATTCATTATCATCATCTTCATACAGAACTGATTCCATGATGTTTAGGTTTGGTAGTAAATGAAATTTTAACAACCATTGAGGTGAAATTCCATTATTTCAAATATACACCAACCCTCAAAACGCATACATGTATATCTACATCTATATATATCTTATGGAGTCAAGACCGAATTATTCCTTATTTACAAACTATGAGGATTCAACTGGGAAGCACTGTTAGGATATTGATCCAATATCCCAAGATAATTATTGCAAGTCTAACTCTGTTGGTCGTCCTAACTGTCAATGTCACATGCTTCAATGTTGTTTCTCATTCGACCTAACTGTATAAATGTGCATTATCTGTAACGTTTTATGACCCGGACCCGGATTCTTAGCCTCTTCGGGACTCGGACATCGTACTACTGGATGTTTTAAGTATACACGTTCCACTTCAGATCAAGTCTTCTTCTTCTATGTAGCGGGGGTTTGGGACGCTCGGATTAGAGTAGCCTGTCGTGTCGCCGGATCATCGATCCTCGCTCTCGTTCACTCACTTAGGTAAACTCGTAATAGTTCAAACGTATCAATTGACGTGTTGACGTGCATGCGTAATAAGTACCGAATGACTTTTATGTTTATATAAGTCAGTTGTGAGAAATTTTTAAAAATTCTTTTTATTTGGCGGAACACTTTATCAAGAACTTTCAGGAATATGATGTTTTCCTAATAAATTTATCGTCAATCAATTTTGACTCATTATATATTACCCAATAAAAAGCTTTGCCTGATTTTACTTGTCAGATAATTTTAATCAGGATTAGTTTCACGAAGTCAATGTACTGAGACATAATCTCATAAAAATCCAAAAATAAAATAAGAAGGTTTAATTTCAAGATTTACTTTATTAACACAATACAAAAAATACTATTATGAAATCTCTTAAACATTACAATTAATTAACCACTGAGCAGTGACAAATAGTATGTTTGTCTAATGAAGAGTGCACACTTTCGAACAAGTTGGAACGCGGTTCTCATCCGAGTGACGGAAATGATTTGTGCCATGTTATTATTGAGCTATTAAGAGAATGAGTAATATCGTGTTGGATGTAAATATTCGAAAGTGACTGATTATCAAAGAGCTAGACAAACACAACAATGGTCACTTCTTAGTGATCAATCAAGTGTAAAAACCTCGGTCTTACCAAACGTCAGTCTCAGTCTAGATAGCTCAGTGTTATATTTTTGACCGTGAAGCAGGGTGATCCGGGCTATAATACCTCGGAGAACTTCAGTTCTTCAAAGGTTACAGGTTGGCCTTCTTGATAAGAAGAAACCAGAACGTGAACCCGGGTTCAAGGTTTCCTGATCACAACCGCTCACAACTAGCCAGCATTATTGAACTATATGTATAACAATTCAGTCTTGATTGATCAACTCGAAAATTTTGTAAAATAATTCATGGAACTTTTTAAAATGATTACGCAGTAAAATTATGTAGTAGTGTTGCAAACTGATGATTATTAGATCTCATGATGACTGAAACTTATATCAAAGGATTCTACTAAATAAAGTTCATATTTTTTATCACAAAAAATGTAATCTCAAGCGTGTATAATATACCACTAACAATTAAAACTCAATAAAAGTGAACAAAGCAACAAACGAAATCAAAATTAAATAATATTCGATTGTGAATGTGAAATAGAATACATGATAACATTGAGCAGGTGAATACATAATGTGTTAATATGGATTCAGAGTAGGATAGAACAGACTAAAAGTTTATCACTCAGATTTATTATCTTAACATATAGTTTGGTAAAGTGCTTGATAAACTAAGGCACAATAATAGGGAAGGTTTGTTTAACAAACAGTTCACTTTTTTAAGTGCATTTGTCCTCAGAGCTCTACAATCAAAAAATATAAACCTCGGCCTTTCCTTCTAAACAAAAACTAATTCTCTCCTTGTACTATAGTCTTAACATCTAGTTTCTGAGTCATTGAACTCCCTCTTTCCGAATCCTTACTGATCTATTAACCTAGTAACTGACTTTTATTTTAAATTCTACATTTTATCGTGTCCTGTACATAAACCCGTCTTCATAATTATCATTACTATTTATTTAACGATCATGATATTCCTAATGAATATTCAAAGTCTTAACAGTCGAACTTTATAGGCTTTTTTCGTTAAGGATAGCAAACTTTCCAGTGGTTTTGTCACTATACTCAGAAGGTCGTTTTATCTATCAAATATAACACTGATTATTATTGTGAAAAAGAAATCATATATCTTACAATTATACGAATGAATGCGAATGAATTCATTGAATATATGAGTCTTAGCTAAACAACCGATCCTTTTTGTTCGTTCTTGAAATTTAATATAACAATAAGGCTTTCCTATTATTCATTTTGTTCAGTACTAAACATGTTTTCTTAATACATCATAAATCTAAAGTAAAATATTTGTTAGATATTTATTCCGAAGATAATTAAGGCCATATAGTCAACATGGGATAAAAAATAGAAAGTGTAATGGTTCAAGCAACCTAATCCTATTTCAAACGCAGTCATTATAAAGGGTTACGGTTCTCATAATGTAATGAACAACACATGAGAGTTTGAAGTAAGAATAGAACATAAGGGAACTTGAACGTGACTAAATTTTAGTTCAGTAACATGAAGTGATGAAGTGAAGACGAGAATCCTGTTGTTAGTTACCAATATGTTTATAATTAAATTTCACAAGAGACACAATTCAGTCATTTTTACGTAACATAGAACTTGGAATGTATTTGCATCAATCTGAGTCATTACACTCCATCAGCAGACTGAAACAATAAGGTGAAAACTAAACTCATTAGTAGAAGCAGTAATGGTTGTAGAAAATATCTGAATTTTTTGGTCGATTCTGAGTCACTTTACCTAAAACCTCTTACCATTTATTACAGTATTCACGCTAATCCCAACCTGCTAGTCTACATCTATCTAGATGGGTCAGTCCAATAGTCTGTAGATTTATACACTAAATTCTGGTCTACAACGTATTTGTGATGAAAAGTGACTAGTATAATTATTTTCCTATTCTAAAACCATCTATATTTTCCTTGCCAACATAATGTAAGGTATTCATGAGGGAATGAAAGACAATAATAGAAGGATAGATTTATATATGGTAAAAATTAGTTTTAAAAACGATATAAATATAAAACTTACCTTTCTTGCTCCAGTAGTATTTAAAATAACCCTAGGAAATTAACAAAAGAGTATTAAAGAAAGTCAGCTAAAACTCGTGAAAGGTAATCAGACTTGAAAGCCTAAACTATATGATATAGAGAATTTAAATAGTTAACAGTAGTCCGATTATCGATTACGGTGTAAATTCTGTTTTTATTAACATATGTACATAAACGAGCGGTAATAACAGTCAAGACAATGAATGCTACAATAGATGGTAAGATAAGTAACTGGTGGAATTAACAAAATATTTATTTCCACTATTAAAGTGAATATGATAAGTGGTCCTCGTATCATTATTTCTAACCAATTTTTCCTTATATCTGAATTCTTTAAATTTAAATTCAATCTTCATCTACATCTAATGGCAGCTTAAGTGAAAAAACACGAAGCATCGAACAATTATTGAAGCAATAAATCACGATCCTCAACCAGAATAAACCCATAACTTCTGGATGACGCAGTGAGCACTATATAATTTAGCCTTTAAGTTTGAATCAAGTCGCCTACAATTGCTAATTAAAATTTTTTTAATAGCATAGTCCTTCAATCAAGTGATGTTATTGATAAGCACTCACCCAACTGGTCAGTATAAATAGACACCTATACAACAAATCTATTTCTTAGCTTTTCCCATAAAAAATTTGCATTTGTTGGAATGAGTCAACCTAAATATTTTTTACCCAAATATGAGGTACTATATACATAAACACTTGGATCAAATAATAAGATTTCAAACATCGTTGAGCTACCAAGATTATTTAATTTAGAGTAAATTTATTGTATCATTATCTCTCTTCTACCAACACTTGGAGTAGTAGCTGAACATCTTAAGCTATTGGACCATGGAGATGTTTTGTTGCAGTTGAATCCATACACTAATCCATACACTAATTTGCGAGTCTATTTTCGGAAACAGTAGGTGAGAATACAGGTAACTACTTTCCTGGGAAGGGAATAAATAACCTGTGAGGAATACAGGAATCCAATGTTTGGAAATATAATTTTTGTTTGAATCTAGTGACTATCGAATAACGAAACCTATATTACTAATATTTTTATCCAAATATGTGGTGCAAGAATCAAGCAATAAAGTGGAAGGATTCTTGCATCAATTGGATAATTCAAGCTACATGCAGAGAGTAAAAACCGATTAAACAAACAATACACTAATCAGTTATAAATAACCTAGGGTGAGGTAAAGATAAATATCGACCCATCCTAGCACTTCATAAGAAAGAACTTTGGGAAAACTACATATCAAAAAGTTCTAAATAAGACTCTAGTCACGATCAATATCATTTACATACTTTTACGGAAGATGAAAACTATACACGCCGTATATGTATATACATATGAATATATTTATGAGCATAAGGACTTACGTTTTTAGGGAGAACCAGAAATAAAGCAGCTGTGAAAGTAATGAAAACAAGAGCGACCAAAAAGTAAACCAATCCATTAACCGTAGGTGAGGAGGATGCGGCGATAGATAGAATATTAGCGACAGATGCAAGAACGCCAGAAACAGCCTGAAAAAGAAGACAACAAGAGGTACAAACTATTAAGATGATAAACAGTGAGATAACGGTAAAATCACATAGACAAAAGCAAAAGAATCAGATAAAATAAGCCCATCAAATAATATATGAGACGGTAATTAATGATTACTAATTTTACTGTTTATTTTATTACACACTGTTCTCCAGATTAATTCCAATTTTATAAACGCCAAAACTATCTTGTCATTTATTCGTTTTTTGAAACCTATGTGAATCCGTCTACATCTTGCTTACTTATTACGTAGCCCTTTAACTACTAACTCTATCTAAAACTTGAATAGACTTTTTATAGCCTCTATAGTTATTACACGACTCACCTAATCAGTTTCTAGAAATCATTTCATTCGTCTTACCCCCCACTTATGCCTTTTGGTTTAAACTGTTTAAATTACATTATTCTCGCATATATATATATATATATATATATAGTTGTGATTGTTAATTTTTGCTACTTCCCTCCGTCATCAATTTAAATGGCTTTATATGATGTCACAACTCATTTTTATACCGTAATACACTAAATTTTTTGAGCAGCTGACAAAATCCCATTAATAAATACACATTATTATGCTTCAGTTGTTGCTTTACTTAATTAGGCAAACTCATTGCCACTAAAACTCAGAGGTCCAAACTTAGATGTATGTTCTACTGGTCATATCTTGTACACGTGAATGTAACCCTAAACACTTTGTGAGTGTCCAGTGGACAATACCGAAAATCGCAAAAATGAATACAAATCTTCGTGGATTTTTACAGACCAGGAGATATCAGCAAGATAAACTTAATAGAACTGACTTTTTATGCTTCAATTTCAGTTAATGAATTACTAACTAAACAGGTTGAATCTATACCTCCTGTAGTTAATTCGAACAGCTAACCAAAACAGATCTAGAATTGTCAATAGCAAGACGCCTTCATATCGACCCAATATTTTTTCCGTTCTTTATACAGAACTTTAGAGGATCACCATGTCTAGTACAGTAACCCAAAACATACTTAAGCGATTTTGTGGTGCTAAATCTATACAGTCCTTGATTAAAACATCCTTCATTAGTAAATATCGCTCAAATAGTGGATTAAACCATATATGGACAACTCTGTGATGTTTGAATGAAATTTTTATTACGAAGTGATAGATCCTTTGAAAAAACCAAAAAAATGCACGAAAGCTTGATTACTGTTTATGAAGCACCAAAGATGTTGCTCACCTGTCCTTCTAAAGCGGCCTTCATATGTTTCGAAGGAAGTACTGCTGCCACGCCAAATACGCTACCTTGGGCAAGTGCACTACCACCTGCAGAAAATCACACTAAAAGCTGAATAACTTACAGTTAAGAAACACAACCGAAATTAGTGTTATACTCAAAAATGCATAAGCACCTAGAGTGATTATTAAAGTAGTGGACGGTTAACCTACTAATCTCAATATAAACGAGTATAACTGTGATGAGAAACACGATGAACACCAACAAGCTACCAACAACAAACCGAGAAAACGGGGAGAACCTAAAACGATGTTAGGCGCATATTTATTCCTTACCATTTCATAAGCAGTAGGTTGACAACCATCATGAAGGAGAGCGGAACCAAAGAGCAAACTGCCAAATAGCTACCGAATAATACTTGGGAACGCGTCATATATTTAGGGTCTGTGTAGTCAGCATCTGAAGGTAGAGTTCTATTTCTCATTTTGTAGTCAAAATACTGAAAATTATAAAAATATTTAACCTACCCTTTGAGCATTAATGAAGAAGTTCCATGGTAAGAGCCCACCCAAGCCACACATAAGAAATATTATATACACCAAATTATATCTGATAATGTTAAAATAATACTCAAATTACTTATCACGGGGTGGTCCCCTCACTTCGTCTTTCATTTCAGATCCCATTGAGACAAATTGGTTACTAGCTGCAAGTATTACGTCCGAACTTCAGACCGCGAAATGTGGATCTAACTTTGCCTTCAGCGCAATGAACTCAAGGAGAACCTTCAACTGTTTTCAATATACAATAATTTCAATGACCAATATCTTTGTTTCACTATACAGAGATTCCGGTGCATTTTTGTGGCTCGCTATTTTTTGTTGGGGTGAATCACCAAGAATTTTAAAGTCTGACTATTCAAATGCACTTCTCTTAGTTAGTTCTGTAGTTATTTATGAAACTGTGTGCCTGGTAAACTCCATGAACGAACATGCAACTACCTCAGGCAAAGAGTTGTTTTCCTGAAAAATCAAAAATTATAAATGGAAGACTTCGAATGAGTAGTAAATAACGGAACGAAATGATCAGATAATTAATGAATTATTCGTCCAAACGTCTGACAGTGTAAAAGGGGGGAACACGAAACGAAATAATAAAGATGTTAATTTTATGTGATGATTATAATAGCCGATAAATTGCGTCGCATAAATTAGGAACAGCTAGTTAAAGTTGGAGATGCTAAGCTATGGATGAATGTGTGATTATTAGATCTACTTTTGAAGCGATGCATTGAGAAAGGTAGTTATATCTGGCTGGGAGAGCATCTCTTAATAAGATGGATTTTAACCTCTTTTTCATTTGCCCTGAAGCTCTTTGGCACCGCCGGTCGAAAAGCAACCGGATACTCTCGCATAAAATAATATATGACCTATCATTTTTATCATCAAGCCTAATTTAGATCCACGAAACTGCTTACAGTCCCAGAAACTACACATATACACTACTACTACTACTACACGTCATAGTTTTTCGTGAAAAATATTACCAAACTCCAACCGTATATGCGACACAGTCACTAGGTTCAAGAAAACTAGTGAAGCTGATGTTAGTCTGCAAACAGATTTATAAGGTCATTCCAGAACTCGCACTTAATCCCAAGGTGATTCACTATGGTCCAGTTATTATTTAGAAGCGCTTTCTGACACTTCAATTTAGGGTTCCCACTCATCCCCTAATCCACACCGGAAGAACGTGTAGGACTTACAGCAGTACGCCTACACGCTCTCCAACATGGATATGACCTATCAAGCTAACTAGGTACCTGTACCTTCCCATCAGGCCCTTGATTCCCCTATCAATCGTAGCATGACCTAACGGTAGTATAAACCTAATCCAATTAACCCACACGAACATGTACAACACGTCGTAAAGCTGGTCATATCCTCATAGAGATTTACCTTCCACCTCATGCGGATGAGTCGAATCCACCACCCATTGCTCCGAACAGCAGATACGATGACGCCCGCGATGCTGACTTATCAACAGAAGCTCTTGACCCATAGATAATATGCAAGGGTGGGATCTCCAATTTTGACATTTCTTCGTCTCCCGAAGACTCTAGGTGGCATAACATAGGAACAATATTCAACTCTCCATCTCCTGGTACAGAGGTTTGATCAGCATTCGTCATCGTTGACAACTCATTTGTCACATCAGTGACATCCAGATTATTATCATCGTCATCATGATTCCGTTCTGTCAGACAAGTCGTGTCGTTTCTGGCTACACTAGAATCCGTACAGTGAAACTCTTCCTTTGTTGTACAACTCATCTCGCTACATGAAAGAACAGCATTAGTGTCACAATTCGAAACCGATGAACTCACTTGTTGTTCTTCATGTTCCGTTTCAGAGACACAAGACATATGCACGTCAATAGCATCGTTATCATGCAACACTGTAAACTGACTGTTACCATCAGACGCTTCCTTCTCATCATCACTTGACTGACAGTCAACCGAAATAGGGACACTTACAGTTACACAACCTTGTGTATCCTCAATCAACTTAACATTCGCGACGAGGTCAGATGACGTCAAAACATTAGAAGGCTCGTTCGATGAAGTTAATCGACTAGTCACTATAGGTGAACTGCTCACACTTTCCGTCTCTTTACTATCGCTGTCACTACTAAGATTCTGATGACTACTATATCCATTGCTAGTCATAGCATTTGAAAGAGAACGAAGTTTACGCTTCTTAATAACAGTAGCATCATGTTGTTTCTTATGCTTCTTAGCTTGGGTAGCAGTATGTGAGCGTAACGTACGATCATTTCGACGACGATGAGTGTCTTTCAACTTCCATCAATCACTATTACTCGCAGGAGTATCATCAATGCTATTATCATTAGTAGCCGCAGCTGTACAAGCAGTAGTACACATCTCATGACATCCAGTCGACTCATGCACAATGGCTAACTCTCCTCGATCAACATTACTTTCCTTACTAGGAATGCTCTTAACCTCTGCTATCTTATCACTGTTGGTAGTGCTCATCCCGAAGCTTGTAGTACAAGTCAATGATAGTGGAGTGCGACAGGTGGACGATTCCATGCTTGATTCCTCATGCTGCATATTTAACACAACAACACGTTCATAAAACCTAGATGACTCCTCATCGCACCTAGGGTACCGAATGTTAGCCCCCTCAGTAGTGCCATCACTGTGGCTAATGCTATTGCCACCGACGTCTATATTCTCCACGCTCAAACATCCAATTTCGTCTTGATCCGAAGTACTCAAAGAAGCTACATTAGTAACAGCAACCGAAGAAACAGCACTACCTATAGTGATTTCACTCTCGTTAGGATCACGCTTATTATTCATATCAACCGTAGTATTCCTAAATAATCCCAATGTGCGTTCCGTAGGAAGTCGCTTAAAGTCAATCACTTTTACGGCTTCTGCTCTCTCTTCTGGATGAATTGATTCGAGAACCTGCAAAACAGTTACTTATCCACTTGGTAAGTCTGAACCCACCTTTTCTGAGGAGTAAACCAACGATTGTTGCAAGCTCGATTGCATCCTGCACATTATCAATTGAAGTTAAATAGTCGTCGACATAAAAACTCTTATCTACAACTTCCTGGACATCTTTAATCAATTACTTTCAGAATATATCTACCGTCGTCCTAAGAGCGAAATTAGCGGCTAATGCTACGTTGCATAATCTGAATCGTAGAACTATACCTATAAAACCATTTACAGTACTTGGTATAATTGGATTTTCTACCGTAGCAGTTCAATTCGATTCCAATAGACGTATGTCGGACGCACTTTCCGATTTAGAATATAAAAACACAATAATTCTAGGGGAAAATGCTCTAACAAATTTTACGCCTTCCAATTCAAAATTACTCTGAATGAGTATCGAGGTTCCGAAGTCTAGGTGAACTCCTTTACTGCACGATATCAAATCCAAAAAATGTGGCGGTAGCCATATTTTATCAAATTTAAACAACATATGTACAGTTCAGAAGCAAACATAAAAACTTCAATATAAGTACAAAATATAGAAATAATAACAATATACAATGATAAATCTGAAATTGGAATCAAATAAAATACCAAAAATGTCAACAGAAAAAGTCCGTCATGTCATAACAAAAATATGTAAACGTGGAGGGATTTTCCAAAAAACAAAACATTCAAAAAGGATTCTACACTTGGTCCTCTCAAAAGCTGATCATTAAGAGAAAAACCTTGATAGACAGCTGCACAATCAAAAACAATTCTAAATTTTTCAGGTTTTTTAGGGTTGATAACAGGATGATGAGGAATATACCAACAAACAGCATCACGGTCGAATTCCTCCTTACTAGCTTCAGTGATGTAGCCTTTACTTAAATGTTTATTCATTACAAGTTGATATTTCTCTAGAGAACTATTATCCTTCATAAACCTCTTCCTTAAACACTCTAGTCTACATTCAGCTAGTTCCAAATTATTCGGTAGCCTTGGCTTATCATGCTTCCAGGGTAGACCAACTTGGAAATGGCCACCCTCCAGTCTAAAGGAGCTATTAACTATTTCTAGAGCTCTTTTATCTTCGACAGAATATCCATTACGAAACCCATCTGCATCCTGGAACTCATGATTATACAATGTTTCTATGTCTTGCAAAATATCATTAGTAGAACAATGACACCACTGAACTTGATGTAAAAACCTCGATGCTTCTTTAGGACCTAAAATCATCCAACTGAGATGAGTACGCACACCAAACGGATGCTTCCTGTCTCCAAGGCATGTTCAAGGACCCAATGTGCATCTGGAGCATCACACCCAATCAATATTCCTACAAGATTACTTTGCGACCTCGGTAGGGTTACGTCCTTTAAATGTTTCCACTTTCTGAGCTGGAGTTCGGTTAAAAGTTCTGCATATCTGATCCGATGTTTCTTAGTCGTATAGGCCTTGTTGATCTTGAAAATTCTTATTTCTCTATAACTGTTAACTGTGTAGCATTGATGCCTTACCAATAGTTCATAAGTTGTAATAGCCAGACGAGTTTGTGAAAGGAACTTGCAGAAATAGTGTTTCTCAACAGGATGTGAGACACAGAACACCAAGTAGAACTCAACAGCTTCTTTTAAAAATTTAACATGAGCCTAACAACACAAAAGGAGGGAGGGTGGAGTTACTGACCAGCAAACATTGATGGTGTGGGCGATAACTTCAAACCACCCATGTTTGTGGGGCAGAACATTTTGTTTGCTTTCGGCTCTTTAGATTGATGAGACGACTAATCAGTAACACTGAGATTGCTCTTATACGCTTGCTACTTCTGTGGTTCATGTTTCCAAAACTATGCTGAGGTCGCTATTCTATCGAGACACCCGCAAAATTCTTACTCAGGCGCTGACAGTATGACTTAGAGGTTGGCATTCAATAATAAAGAAAAAAAACAGACAGTGCGAGATTTTATTCATCAAATTTTTATTTTTACAAACTCTACTCTTTCAACTAGAATTTCGATTTCAACGTACATAAATCCAGCTTCTTACTTCGACTTCTCTTCTATCCACCTGACACTGCACAACTCTTCCTTCTTTTTTGCTGTATTCCTTTATCTGTGGGTCATATTCTTATATTCCCATAATTTACTTTAATTTAAGTGGTCAGTATGAATTTTATCTTGACTCAACTAAAGTACTGACTACTTCAACATGACAGGTTAAGTAGTGCTTTGGTTAT